TTTTTTTATGAAGCTAAAGAGAAACCTGTTTGACCTCTTCTCATCTGTTTGTTTTGTATGATGGCTGTCATTTCAGCTTCTTACTCTGCACGCTTCTTTCCCCGACCTGACTGACGCTATAATCACATGTCATTGGCCACCAGGCTTTTCTAAATAGAGAGGAACCTTCCAGGAGTGTGACGCTTAATAAAAGGAAAAGCGGAAGCACTTGATGAAGATAACCACACAAAATCTCAGCAGGAAGGCAAGGAAGGGCAATCTGTAAAATGTGACAAGATTTTCAATAAGGATCCAGTAGAGCCGTGTTGAAAGCTGGTGTTCCAAAGGTTGCAAGGAAGGGCATGGCTCTGGGGAAGCAAGTGTATCTCACATTTTGTGGGACATCATTATAGCTGTCATTCATGTCCCCACGAGAAGCAGCTGCTTTTCCTGTATAAACTTCTCAGATGGGGAAATCTGACCCATGGGTCAAACTCCATGCATTGATACCACAGTTATCGCCAGTCCATCGTGGGTATGAGTGCTTCCCTCCCATGCTTGGCCTTCTGTATGTTGGGCCCTCTTTTTTTGTACATAACATTTATTGGCATCTGTCTGCCTTGGGAGACAATGCAGTGCGCTTCCAGGGGTGAAGTCAAACCACTGCATTAGCAACACCCAAGTGACCTTTCTAGGGTGCAAGTTTGGGCAGTGTATATGGAGAGCCTGGGCTACCCAGATGACAGGACCTCCCTCTTGCCCCCTGATGTGGTCCAAAGCAGAGAAATACGTTTGCTTGGCTGCATGAGTTGGTGGAAGGTGATGCACAAGGCGCCATCCAACCGTCTTAGGGACTCCACTCCAGATCTGTGTAGGGTTTATTCCTTAGCTTTTTCTTCTTCTTCCCCAAGGCAGTGGAGGTTCAGGGTTTTCCTTCTAGAAGGGCTACCTTCCCAGGTTGATGAGCCCCATCTGCTCCTCAGTTCCCTCTACAGCATGTGCAGAAACCTCCTTCTTGACCATTAGATCCATAATTGGTCTTGTCCGCTCAATCCACTGGAGCCTGTCATTGCATGCAGAGGGAAGTCCCTAACTCACTGATGGCTTGAGACCCATCAGCTACCCTCACCTGGTTTAGCCTGCCAGTCAAAGCCATTCCTGGGGTCTGGCTACATGCAGCTCTAAAAAACCCTTTAGCTCTTTCCATGGAAAGGAGTTCATCCTACATCCACGTTGTTTGTAGTGAAATATCATTGTCAAGTGTGCATATGCTGAGCACGTTGCTCCAAAACATGATCTCACAATTTTGTTCTTGAGTACTGCACTTATAAACGCCAAACCTTTCAGGAGTGAAACATTTACTGGAAGTAAAAACAGACTGATTTATGAGAATGAAACAAGTGACAGCCCGAAGTTAGTCAGCCTATTGCCATGAATGTTTACTCAGAAATAAGTTGACTCCATAGGACTTACTGCCAAGCATTGTATAATTTGTTCCTTAAAATTAGAGGGACTTAGTCACAAATCATTTGCCCTGTTTATTTCAGCAGGATTAAAAGTGGCTTTATCTAGATTGGGACCCCATGCAGGAGAGTTCTCTGGACAGGGACCATAGCTCAGTGGTAGGCAGGGCCACCCAAGACATTTTGTGGCCTGAAGCAATGGGCGAGGTGTCACCTTTCCCCTTCCACAAACAGTAGCCACATACTCAGCTGGCAGTTGAGTCTTACTTCAACACTGACGATGGCACAGCTTCTTCCGTTGCATCTGAGGACAGCTTAAGGGGGGGCAGGGCAGTTCTGCATCTGCCATCTGAAGCAGTTGCCTAACTTTGCAATGTTAGGGATGGCCCTGATGGTAGAGCACATGATTTGCATGCAGAAGGTTCCGGGGCAAACCGTGTCATTTCCAGCATAAAAGCATGAAGTTACAGATGACTGGGGAGATCTCTGCTGGGTCCCCAGAGAACTGCTGCCAATCACAGTAGACAGTCCTAAGGTAAATGGATAAAATAGCCTGGCTCTGGTATAAGGCACCTTCCTGTATACTAAAACTCATGATTTCTATCCTACAGAAACGTACATTTAGAAGTTAGTATATTGTGAGTCAGGATGTGCCTTGGCAAATGGGAGGGTGAAAAGGGAAGGGATCCTTGACTCAAAACATTTTCGAAATCGGCTACTATGTTTTTGCTTTTGTTTTATTTGGTGCTGCCGTTTACCAGTTTCGTTATTTGTTTTTATATATGTATTGTTTTTAGTAAATCATTTAGAGACTGTTTCGGTATTAAGCAATAGATAAAGATATGTAATAAGAAAATAAATATAATAAGAAAAATATATTTACAATATCCATTATTGGCTTAATATTTGCAAATATCTGCAAAATATTTGGGGGTGGGGTGGGTAATTCCGCTTAGACCTTTTTAAAAGAAAAAAGAAGCAAGTTCCTAATTTGTAACTGGGGGTGGGTGGAAGCAATGGATTGTATACAGAGTAGCGCTAAGTGACACATTCCATCAACTCAAGAATTTCTACTTGTACAGCAGAACTTTGCCCTCCCTTGTACACCTCCTACATCTGTTAACAGGATCAGGCCAATGGCCCATCTAGTCTAGCATGCTGTTCTCACAGTTGCTGACCAGATTGTGCAAGTGGAAATCCTTTGCCCTGACAGAATACATTAGTTGGATACCTACTGCCTAGTGACCTTGGCATAGATACATAAATCAATGCAAGTGGTAATTGACTGTGTACTCCTTTGTGTGCCTAATCCATGGAAAACCTGGTTGGTACTGGCAGCTCAGAGACTTCCCATTTTCCAGTTAAGAGGGAAAGGGTAGCAGAATAAAGTCACCAGCTGAGCAGTGCTCCATTTGAATGGCATTACCTTCCTTACTGGATTAATAACATTTGTATTTGACTTTGACAATTTTAGAACCGACAACAAGATTTCTCTGTCCTAAGTTATTTTTTGAGGTTGGGCATAATGCTGAGAAACCAGTCTAATACCCCCTTTTGAGTGAACACATCCTGATTAGAGAGTTACTATTTATTTTACCTGTCTCATTGAAATAAAGGGAAGGACTGAGGGGGCATTCCTAACTTCCAGTGGATTTTTACAATCTGCCTGGAGCTGGTGAGCTCCATTCATTGCTCAGAAACTATAATCCTCTCTTTCTTTAATTTCTGTTTCACCTGCACACCTGTTTATACAAAACTAAAAGTCACGTCTACCAAAACAAAGACGAGCTGAGAGGTAATTACTATGTCATTGCCTGAGTACAGTCCAGCTCCATTGAAATAATATTGACTAAATGGGAACAAGCTCTTTGACTCCCTTTCTACAACAGTGAGGTAGAGGTGAAATATGTCTCTTCTAGCCCTCAATGTAGGGGCAATACTAGGGTTAACTTGTTTTCCAAAACCATAGGAGCTAAAATTGTAAACTGGTAACATCAACTTAACATCAACTTGATGTACAAGAATTAGCAAATAAGGTTGTTCATGGCATGGGTACAAGCTTTAGCACTTGATAACATCTGCAGAGTTGGGGATGCGGGTGGCGCTGTGGTCTAAACCACTGAGTCCCTTGGGCTTGCAGATGAGAAGGTTGGCAGTTCGAATCCCTGGTGTGGGGTGAGCTCCTGTTGCTCTGTCCCAGCTTCTGCCAACCTAGCAGTTCGAAAGCATACCAGTGCAAGTAGATAAATAGGTACCACTGCAGCGGGAAGGTAAACTGCATTTCTGGGCACTCTGGTTTCTGTCACTGTGTTCCATTGTGCCAGAAGCAGTTTTGTCATGCTGGCCACAGGACCCGGAAAGCTGTCTGTGGACAAACGCTGGCTCCCTCAGCCTGAAAGAGAGATGAGCACCACGCCCCATAGTCTCCTTTGACTGGACTTAACTGTCCAGGAGTCCTTTACCTTTTACCTTTGCCTAACATCTGCAGATCAAATGGTTCAGTGTCTGGCTTAGAGATGGGGAATATGTGGTCCTCCAGTATTGCAACTTCCATCACCCTGAGCACTGGCCATGCTGGGTGTGGCTGATGGAAGTTCAACAACAGGCTCCCCACCTCTAATTCCTAATACTGCGAGGATGCTCTAATTCTGCAAGGATGCTCAAAAAAGGCGTGATTAAATGGGAGGGGATTCATTATGATTGCATGTTCTTTTGCAGGACAGATCAGGTTCTGGAAAAGGTGTCTTGAGCCTACCAAAGGTCTTTTAGTTGAAATCTTCCTTTCCGCTAATTAACTGATTTGGGTTAATAAAATTACACGTGGTACGGGGAGAGACCAGATAGAGAGAAGAGTGTGTGCACTCTCTCTCACATAATACTAGAATCTGGTTTATCCAATGTAGCTGAACAGTGAAAGATTCAAGACAGACAAAAGGATGTACTTGTTCATACTGTGGATGGATCAACAATGGGATTTGCTAGCCCAAGATCTGGTGTTGGTCACCAATTTTAATGGTTTTGAAAGCGGATTTGGATGGATCATAAATGATGACTATATACTACCTCCAGGACCAGTTGCTGCGAAGCAACAGTGGGGAAGACAATTGTCCTCATGACCTAAATCACTTAAAGTTTGCAATCTTTAAAAAAAAAAATAGAAACCTTTTGTAAACTAAAAAATGCCAAAGATTCCCAAAAAAGGAATGCCATAGATTCACTTTCTGAGAAGTTGCTCAATAAACTGGTTGAATCATTGTCATCAGACCAATGAGAAGATTTGCACTGTAGCACTATGGATTCTTATTTTAGATTGCCTCGCTACAGAACACTTTGATGAGTTTTTCTCAACAGATGCTGGGTTTACCAACAGCTTCTGAGAAGAATTAACACTTCCACCAAGAAAAAGAGTGAAAGAAAGAAGTGGTGTGGGGGGAAAAGGAACATATGACAGCAAATATGGGGCTTTTGATGTGTCTAGTTGTATATGTTGTAATACACCTTCTTGTTCTATTAATAACACAGCCATGATAAAAGATGTCCATGCTTTATTTTCTACAGGCAACTTCAAAAGATAGTACACGATATCAAGAAAAATGACAGCGGAATAATGAGCAAGTTCAAAAAGTAAGCTATGCACATTTGCAATTTACATGATTGAATGTTTTACTCATTTTAGTGCCTATTTTTGATCCATGTTCAGCAGAAGCCTGTGCATGCCTACTCAGAAGTAGGTCCCAGCATGTTCAAGGGGACTTACTTCCAAATAAGTGTGCATTAAATGGAACACTTTGTGGTATGTGACGGGGGGCCCAGATGCCTAACTGAGCATTTTGAAATTCTCAGTTTTGCTCATAACAAACAGTTCTAAATAGTCTTCTTAATAACAGTGTGTTTATGAGGCCGCATTCACTCCATACATTTAGAGCACTATGATAACACTTTAAACATGAGAGCCAGCGTGGTGTAGTGGTTAAGAGCGGTGGACTCATAATCTGGTGAACCGGGTTTGCGTCCTCGCTCCTCCACATGCAGCAGCTGGGTGACCTTGGGCCAGTCACACTTCTCTGAAGTCTCTCAGCCCCACTCACCTCACAGAGTGTTTGTTGTGGGGGAGGAAGGAAAGGAGATTGTTAGCTGCTTTGAGACTCCTTAGGGTAGTGATAAAGCAGGATATCAAAAAATCCAAACTCTTCTTCTTTCTCCAAGGAGTTGTGGGCTTTGTAGTCTGTTAAGGGTACTGAGAGTTGTAAGGAGACCCCTTATTCCCCTCAGAGAGCTACAATTCCCAGAGTTCCCTGTGATTGGTTGTTAAACTACTCTGGAAAATGCAGTCATCATATGACACATGCGCCATTTTGAACCTCGAAGATGGTGTCTCGGATTTGGGCAGCGTTGTGTTGGAGGATATGCATAGGTGGCCATAACAAAGCAGTTTACCCAACAAGCCATAAAACAATCCATCAGTCAAAATAATAAAGTGCTATAACAAAACCAAAGGTAGATAACCTAAGTTCCGTAAATGACTTCCTTAAAATGTCTGCTGAAATAGAAAGGTCTCCATCAAGCATCTGGAGTCCAACAGAAAGAGGGCCTTTCTCATCTCAGGCAGGGGAGGGGAGCTTCAGAGTATCATCTCCACAATGCTGAATGAGCAGCTCCTGGTGAATACAAACCATGGACCTGAGCCATAGGAGATCCCTAACAGAGACTTCCCCAAGGTGATCCTTAAGGTAACCTTCACCCAAGTTTTAAGGGCCTTGTTAATTGACACAAGATCCTTTAATGTGACCCGGTAACATGGGCAACTGGTGCAAGCTTTAAAGCATCAGACTTATGTGATGGTGGAATACATGGTGCCTCCTTGGTCTCCCCTGCAGTATACATACCATCTGCACAAATGTCAGCTGAAGAGTTCTCTTCAGATGTTTCTCAGTGACAACTCACCACTGTTCCTAGGTGTATGTGAGCTTCATGGTCTACCTCATTGACGCTTGCTTGCAAATGCAACTGATTAAGAATTACCGTATTTTTCACCCTATAGGACGCACCGTCCCATAAGGTGCACCTAGTTTTTAGGGGGGGAAATAAAGGGGGGAATTATTTTTTCCCCCAGGCGTGGGGCTGGGGCGGGGGAAGCCTGAGCTTCCCCCGACCCCAGCCCCCAAACAGGCAGCTCTCTGCAAGCCGTGGGAGCCCAGCGCCGGCTCCCGCTGCTTGCGGAGAGTTCCGCAAAGCCTGGACGCGCTGAGCTCAGCGCGCGCAGGCTTCTGCATGCAAGCAACTCTCCGCAAGCAGCGGGAGCCCAGCGACGGGCTCCCGCTGCTTGCGGAGAGGTCCGCGAAGCCTGGAGAGTGAGAGGGGTCGGTGCGCACCGACCCCTGTCACTCTCCAGGCTTCAGCGAAAGCCTGCATTCGCCCCATAGGACGCACACAAATTTCCCCTTCATTTTTGGAGGGGGAAAAGTGCGTCCTATAGGGCGAAAAATACGGTACGGCCTCTTCTTTGTCTGAATGAGCCTGCAAAAGATGAGGCAGAAACTCAGGTGTATGTCAAAAGCCGGCTGAAAGTTACATCATGAATGGTCTCAGCCTCAGTAGGAGCACTGTTACTGCTCCTCTGCCTCATGAAATGCTCATGGTTAGGAAGCATATCTCCTTGTGACATGCTGCTCCAGAGCTGCTCTACAGAGATTACCTCAGAAGGTGATGAACTCTCATTGGAGGTTTTTAAACAGAGGTTGGGTGGCCATCTCTCAGTAATTTTTTCGGTTGGATTCCTGCATTGTAGGGGGCTGGGCTGGATAACCCTTCGGGTCGCTTCCAACTCTACAATTCTATGAGGCGAAGGAGAAATAGAAGTAGCATGCAGCCCACCTTGCAAATAATTCCACCAAATAATCTACAGTGGATTCATTTCAGAGTGCTCAGACTTACAAACAATGCAATCCCAGCCATATCTACTGAGAAGTCCAACTGACTTCAGTGCTGCTTGCTCCCAGGTACATGGGTTTAGGGCTGAACTTTTATAAGGGCATCCCTTTTTGACCCAGCTGTTATGTATTGCCCTCCTATTAAACAAGCGCTTTCAACAACTGTGTTTAAACTAGTATCTCTGTATTACAATGGCATGATAGCAACATGTCTCAACTTCTTCTGTTGCAACGGACCTGATAAACCAAATCAACAAGGTTGCTCTCCCTCCTTCAAAGAGCTTGCAGCAATTCCTTCTGAGAGAGAGAGAGAGAGAGAGAGAGAACCAATTTGCCCCTACCACAACTGCTATGTGTGCGCGCTTAACTCTGTATTTATCCTTAAAACACTTGACTAAATATAGATGCGTACAGAAAGGCACTCTGGAGCTAGACTCCTTTTATATTAGCTCATATATCACTCCTGCAATTATTACCTTCCTTCCACCCCAGAAAATGCTTGTGCTTCTCCTTGGCTCTAATGGCATCAATAGATAGCTGTGGGCAAAAAAAAAATTAGTCCCACAATCTGTTACCAAGAACAAGCAGCCAGTTTTGCTCACATGCAGGGCAAGAAGAAGGTATACTAAGTCCCCCATTCACAGCTGCTGCAACATCTATATCTTACATTTAATGCACTCTTATACCACTTTAACAATCATCATTCACCCAAAGAATCCTGGGAACTGTAGTTTGCTGAGAGTGCTGGGAATTACAGCTCTCTGAGAGGTCTGCTAAAAACAGATCCCCTCTAGGAGATCCGTATGGCTGTATTTAATCAGACTTCTTATATTTTGAGTGCCGTGAGTTTTGTTGTCGGTTCCTGTTGTGTTCATACTGTTTTACTGTCTCTAATTGACTCTGCTCTGACCCTCCTTAGAGAGAGAAAGAGCAAGATAAGAATGCTCATCATTAAATAAATCACAATGCTAGGCCGTTTCTTTTTTAGCAGAAGCCTGGTTTTGAAAGCACCTGCCAAACACCACATGAGTAACCTTGCACATGGGCAAACTGGCTTACAGGAGCATGCATGACCGAACACACCACATCTGACAAATACATGACTTCCTTTTTTATTTACTGTAAAAGCAAAGCTACTTTGGAGTACAAGAACCGGGTCACCATCTTTTGACCCTCCCACAATGGGAAAACGATATCAGTGAAAATAGCTACATTTTGCATGCTGACTGTGCAGTCAAGGAAATGAATTGAAGCATAACACGAAAGGAGAAGCAATACTGAAAGGAGGAGGGCCATAAATTGTAGCATAACTGAACTAAAATGGGGAACTAGGGGGGTTTATGGCAGAATATATAGGCCTCTAAACCTTGTGATGATGATTATGATGATAATGGAACATCAGTCATGTTCTCTCACCTACAGACAGAGGCTTCGTTGTGCTACTTGTTGCAAAGAAAAACGTAGGAGTTTTTCGTTCATCAGGTTTGTTATCAGCCTGATAACTATTGTGAAATTTTATTATGAGGGTTGCAAACTTTTTCTGCAGGATCCCACTTTGTGGCTTGATCTGCAGATATCAGTATCGCTTGCTGTTTGGTGCTATTAACAGATACAAGAGCAGGCATGACCGGTTTCTTTTCCCCTAGTCCATCAACAATACTGTTCTTAATAGCAGGGGTTGAGAGCATGATCCTCGCAGATGTTGCAAGACTACAGCTCATCGCCAAGCATCGTTCATGCTGGCTGCGGCTGATCAGAGAGTCTGACAACATCTCGAGGGCCACAGGTTCCACAGCCCTGCTTTATGGTCAAGCCTGTAAATGTTATAATGCCAGTGATTCCCAAACCAGTTGAGCAAGGTTACGTGACCTGCAAATGGTTCCATTCCATTGACTGCTCACCAGATGCACACATATTCAAGCAATACACACACACACAGGAGCTTTCTGTTTACTTTCTCTAGCAGCAGGTTCACCAATCCGAACAGCCAAAACTCACAAGACATAAAAATGCAGCTGAGTGATTACTTTAGCAGCTATTGGGTCGAAGCAACTAGATACGTCCTCCAAATGCACATGTGGAACTCATACCATCAAAGACTCACTAGGTGATGCTCCAGAAATACCAGTAGTGTGCATTTGTGGTTTCATTCCATTTGCAAGTACGAGTGTTACAGCTTTCACAAACTGACAGACCTAACCTGCTTGAGAAACGTTTGTCTTTTCTTCTCTCTTTTGATATTTAGGTTCCAAAATGAACAAATGGCCATAATTTGCAAAACTGGAAAAAATACATGGGATCGGTATGGCGATTGAGAATTGCACAAGTTTTGGTTGTTCAGCATGAAGTCTTGTTGCCCGCTTTCAGTGTAATGCTTTTGTGTTTTTTGCCAGGGTTTACTTGTAGAAGCAGAGCCTTCTCTCTCCTGTCGAGTCCCTAGACCATCAGCCTCTTAATTTTCTTTTTTCCTAAAAGTACATAGACAGAGCAAACTTGAACATCCATTCCACCACGGGACCATCTCATGGATTGTTTTTCCAGCACTTACCTGTGTGGTGCATGTTAAAAATGTAACACATAGTGTTTAAAAGCATGTTTAAGCATGTGTTTGATGTGGATAGCTGCTGCAGGAAATTCCAACGCCTTGTAACTGTATCAAATAATTTATGGCATCTACAGGTATTTTGTGAAATCTGCTAACAGCTCAGGCCTGTAGAAGTTGGAATGCATTTTGTTTAGTTAAACCCACAAATAATTCAAACAGCCATGTCATACTTCAGGCCTGTCCCATTCGAAAAAGACATCTACTGCCAACCTGAAACACAGAGAAATTTCACTGCACTCTCATATACTGTGATCAAAGTGAAGGAATGGGTTTCTGTGTAGCAAGTTTAAAACTGACTCAACCCCCCCCCCTTTTGTTCTTTCAAAAGAGAGCACTTTTAAATGCGTAAAACTTGAACTGTTGAGCAAAACCATAATAAGGACACAACTGCATAAACAGTTCTGTCCTTTATTAGGACAGGCAAGGGATGGCCTTGGCTCCCCAGGGGAACAACGAGAACACATCAGAACTTTATCTTATGTGCTGACCACAAAATACGCACAAGACCAATTGTAATGGTTCTAGGGGTTGCTTGTGCGTAAATCGGCGCCACACCTGGCTGGTTGCCTGAGTGAACCCTTGCTGTCTCAATCGCTGGCAGAATCCGTCAGTGGGCGTTTCTTGAACTTCTTCCAGCAAAGAAGCTCTTTGACGCCTAGTCTCCGCCTACTTTCCCTGCGCGGAAGCCTTCTGCGCAGGGAGGGTGTGGGCATCGGAGGACCCGTGCTCTCCCCACTGGTCCCCGGCGAGGAGTCTTGGAGCCACCTCGCCGATTCCCCCATCTGCCCCCCTTCTCCACTGGTGCTATGCTGATTTCCTTTCCCTCCCGGGACGCTCTCCGGAATCCCTCTGGAGCCCTCCCTCTCCCTCTGGCTCCGATGGCAGTTCCCTGACACCAATGTCCAGGAAAAACAGCAAAAGCGTGTTCCCGGAGATTATGACGTCTTCCCAGATAAGAATAGGAAGAGGAAGATCCTTTTATGGTCAGAAGTACAGGAAGGAAGATCCTTTTATGGTTGAGAGTACCAGAGCAGGAACATATGTGATGTCAACCTGCGTATACAAGTTGACGCAGCTGGGGAAGGGGGAGAGGGTGCCTGGAGGGTATATAAACTGCATGAAACCTGTCATTTCTTTGGACTTGCTGTGGACTCACCACGCAAGTGCCTTCTGCTAACCGGAGAGCAGAATAAACTCTTTCTTTGAACCAACTCGGTGTCATTTTGACTTCCTTCCTCCTGTCACGGAGCAACGCAGACCCAATCGGTGAACTCCAATAAGGCTACAAAAGATAAACTCATCCTTTTTAAGCATGCCAGCTATGGTTAACTTCATTGGCTTGGATTCTAAGATAAATTACCTTAAGGAAGCTCACAGGAAGAAGTGTTTCCTAAATTCTACTCACTACTGCGGTCACAAGAACAAAAAAGAGCCTCATTGGAGGGTTAGGAAGCCCCTCTGAACAATCTGAGATAGGGCATGGGAGGCTGAGAATCAGCCACAATTGAGCAGACCTCCGTCTGATTTTGAATGATTAACAATGTTATCCTCTACATGCCCACTCAGAAGTAGGGATGAGGGAGACATTCATTTCAGTTTGTGTTTAAATGTGCACTGATAACATTAAAATTCTAAACAGTATAGGAATGAATAAGTAGACACAGCAATAATTGTAAACGTCTTTTAAACACTTGGTAAAAGATGCATGGCTTTTAAACAGTGCTGTGGGACATGTAGCCCTTGAGGTTGTTGTTGGACTCCAACTTGCATCAGCCCCAGACAGCATGGCTAATAATCAGGAATGATGGGAATTGTAGTCTAACAACATACGGGAAGCTACAGGTTCCCCATGCCTGGCTTACATTGTATCTTTCAGATGCTGCAAATTAAAAATCAGATTGGACATGTCTTGGAAAACTCCCATCCACCTAACTAGGATCATTCCAGCTAAAACAGTTTATGAATCACCATTATCTGAGAACCCAGCTCTGCTTAGATTTGCATTCATCAGCAACTCCTCTTAAGTTGGTCAGGATCAGAACTGGTCCCTAGGCCTTGTGGAAAACAAATTGAAATTTTGATTAGCAAAGAAGAAAGGAACTTGTTTTCAAACAAAGGAGCTAGAAACCAATATTGAGATGCAGAATCAGATTCTGATTCAGAAAAGACAAGAAATACTGGGTGCGTTCAAACCTAAAATTTGCTGATTAAAAGGACATTTTACTATTTAGCATTCTAAATGTTGTATTGGATAGTTTTGTAACTAACAATCTGCATTTCTTACATCCTTAATTGCCTGTCCGTTGTGTTTTCCTGCAGAAGTATCCACGTTCATTACATGCATTCTTTCCCCAGAAGTATCACAAACCATAGATTTGTTTGCATCTTCATGTACCTCTTGCTAAGTGTCTTTGTCGTGGTCTTTTGTCACCAGCTTTTTGTTATAGTTCATTTTTGCCAAGTGCTTTGTTGCTGTGCAACTATTATTTAACGGTCTGGAAGTGTAATATAATACTTTCGTATTTTCACAGGCTAACAAATAAACCACCACCAAGTGTGCCACCAGTAGATTATAGAGGTATGAACATGAAACTGTTTATTAACTGTTAATTAAGTCCTGTGGTTGGTACCAGCCACAGTTTAGGGAGTTTGGGGCTTATAAAGGAAGGTGAGGGGCAAGTCACATGTCACCCCTTGGGGGTGCCCGTTCCTTGGTGGGGGCCCATGCAGTTGGCCCCTACCCAGATGGTTGGGTTAATTAAAAGTTATCTCAGCTACATGGAAATCACTCACAGAAGTGGTTCCAACATGGCTAGGGTAATGGTTAAATGGGCACTTAATGACTTCATTGCATAGCTGATCATAAGTGTCATGCAGCTAACGTGAACACTGCATCCCTATTAAGAAATTTGAATCATTACCTCGGCTATTAGATGTGAAAAGGCAGGCCGCAGAAAAGCTGCCTCAGCTAAAAGATCAAACCATAAGAAGTACCTGATGAAACATAACCCTTTGCTAGCTTTCAGAATAGTATTTAGGAAGCCTCAGGAGAAAAGTAGTACTGTACCACATTTAGACATCGGAGGCTGTGATTTAAGAGAGAGCAGTTTTGGATGCCCATTATACACAGTGCCTTGGCCTCAGATTTCCTGAGTAACATTTTGCAAGATGTTTCCTCTCCTTGGTTCCTGTTTAAACGGAGATGCTGACTTTCTTCAAGAAGAGGGATGCCTGCATGTGCCTCGTTCCTGCCAGAAGATTGTATTAATGTCTCATGCAAATGGTGTGCAGGCGAGGAATAGGAAATCAGTGTTGCAGACTGCCTAGCATACAGCTATTGGGGATGGATGGTCAGGCATGCAGGCTTCCACTGGGAAAAAACGATAGCTGCAAATATCACAGCATCTGACAGCCTATGAGAAGTGGCCAAGAAGATAAACAAAGGGAGCAGCTTTCCCCCTTTGCCATAAAATGCAAATGCTGTATATTGTAGCACATGGTTATCGAATTGTGTCCTCAAGTGCCAGTTCATTTCACTACTGTAAATCTAAGTTACAGTATTAGCTAGCTGTATGAACACCTCAGTTAGGAGCATTTTGTAGACAGAGTTTTGCAAGAAGGAAGTATTTGACATCTTCGTAACCTGCATGCTCTTCAGTGGCTAGCAAACTAATTTTATTTGTTTTTACGCAGAGGCAGAGGAAGAGGAACAGTGGTCAGATGAATTTGTAAGTATATTCATCACACTTCCACCATTGCACCTAAATACAGTGGTGCCTTGCAAGACGAAAAGAATCCGTTCCGCGATTCTTTTCTTCTAGCGGTTTTTTCGTCTTGCGAAGCAACCCCATTGCCGGCTAAGCGAATTAGCGCTATTAGCGATTTAGCGCTATTAGCGGCTTAGCGGCTAAGCTGTTAAAAGGCTATTAACAGCTTAGCCGCTTTGAAAGGGGGGGAAGCGGGGGGAAATGGCGAGACTCGCAAGACGTTTTCGTCTTGCGAAGCAAGCACATTGGGAACTTCGTCTTGCGAAGCGCCTCCACGACGGAAAACCCTTTCGTCTAGCGGGTTTTCCGTCTTGCGAGGCATTCGTCTTGCGGGGCACCACTGTAACTATAAATCTGAGTTGTGGAATTTTTGACTCCAAACCATCTATTTTTGCTTCCGTTTATATAAATGATATTATCAGTCTTCTAGTCACGCTCTTGAAGAGCTGGAGATGTGTGTATGTGTGTGTGTGTCTGCATTACTACCAAAATGCTCACAGCAGTGGTCTTGTGTCTGGATAATAAGAAGCTGTCACTTAGATCAGAACTGGAGTTGGGAGTCCAATAACATCCGGAGGGTCACAGGTTCCCTATTCCTGACCTATGTAGTTCTGATCCCACCACCCATTTCCTCCAGCACCACTGCATGACAAATGCTGATAAGGTCTGCTATTTAGTACTGTCACACCGCCTCACTGGCTGCCATTAGGATTCGCCACAGGGCATAAAAACCCACTGAGTGTGCTACCAGCAAAAAAGTCACTGGTCCTCTATTCAAATTATTTCTTGTCTTGTTTTCCCTGAAACCCACACCCACACGGCTCTGATCCTCTGCACCCAGGGTGGGGAACATCAGGCCCATGGTCCAAATGTGTACCTCCAAGTCTTTGCATTTGGCCCTTGGGACTGTCCTCAAGCAAAACACCCACAAGCCACACACACCCTTCTTTCTTGTCTGGAATGGGTCCTTGACCCCCTGTGGTAAGGTTTCTGGCCTGGAAGGAGAATGGAGGTGTTTGTATATAGAAGCATCTGAGTTTTGCATAGCTGGAATGTAACTTGGGCATGTGATCAGAGTCCCATTCTTTGCTTAGCCCACTTTTGCAACTGCCCCTGCCCACCACTGCTATGCAACTCTCAGAAGGTGGCCTATGAAGGCATGTAGCCCTTTGCCTGTAGTGTCCTTGCCCCTGCTCTTCCCCATAATCGAGGCTGCTTTGTAAACTCAGGGCAGGTTTAGATTGACAGCTGAAGATGTGGATTGTCCCAGAAAATATTGCATCCAAGTTGTTTATTGAGTGCTGGGGAATGTTCTCATGTTGTGACTAGTCTCTGGCAGCCCATTCACATCTACAGGTAATCATTATACATCACAGGGGACTAATCATGTGTAAACACAGAATTAAAAGACTTTGGGGCAGCTGCTTACATTTTGGGGTGGTGTTAAAAATAAATGATACTGTGACATATCTCAACCCAATGCACATATTCTCTCTAAAAGTTGCATCTTACAGGGTTCTAAGAAAATGAATGATGCCCTATTTTTATTTTTTTTAGGATAGTGATTATGAGAATCCTGATGACCACTCTGATCCTGAGATGTACGTGGTTCCCACCGAAGAAAACCCTGATGACAGCTATGAGCCCCCACCAAGCGAGCAGGAAAAGAAGATTCCAGCAGCCTTCTCATGTGCTGGAGGAGAATATGCAGGTAATCTTTATGCCTCATTCTATGAACCTGTTTTCCTATTCCAGAACATAATGAATGGCATAGAATTTGAAGGAAGCAGGAGGGATTTAAATGTGGTCACACCCCGTTTCCCCGATCTCCTAATCAGGGCTGAGCCTCAGTAGGGTGATCTTCCTGCATTCCTAACTCCCACCTTACAATTGTTTCCTTTATGTATCTGCCAAAGTGGGCTTGAGTCCATGAAAGCTCATGTCACAGTAAGTAAGTTGGCCTTTAAAGGCCACAAGCCCTTTGTTGTCAGCTGAGGTTACAGTACCGCTCCCCCGCCCTTTTAATGGCACACACAAGTCTAGGGTCATTCATTGGGTGCTTTTCTGTGAGGTGGAAAATTAAATTATAACAGAACTCAGAGCTGAGCTGCACATGACACCATTCACAAAATTAGCACAAGTGACTTTTTAAAAGTCAATTTCAAGGGCAATCTGGACCAATGGGGCAGAGGGAGTCCAGATCAGGCTCCCCACATCTGCAATCGACTTTTAAAATGCCAGTCAAAGAAAAGTCCACAATATTATCCCCACCCCAAGATATGAAGTTCCTGTCAAAACAATGAAGGGGTTTTAAAAATATATAGCTTGTTATTAAACAAAAAAGCTTTATTTTATTTTTAAAATTGCTGTGCAAGCTGATACGGAAAATATTCAGAACGCTCAGTTCTCTCAGTGGTATTGTTTTCTCAAAAGTGATCAATTCCAGGAGTCAGATGATTTTTATGACTTCCCATTCCGTTGCCGGGGAGTCGAGGGTAGGAGGTATTTACAGCGCCCAGTTTTAAAACCATGCATTTTATGTCAATCCCCAGAAGTGTTTTTTGGCTGGGATCTTAGGGAGGGTTTCAAGCACAAGTAACTTTGACTGTTGATCCAGTCGTGGTAAGTACAGTGGTGCCCCGCAAGATGAACGCCTCGCAAGACGGAAAACCCGCTAGACGAAAGGGTTTTCCGTTTTGGAGGCGCTTCGCAAAACGAATTTCCCTATGGGGTTGCTTTGCAAGACGAAAAAATCTTGCGCGTCCCCGCGGGTTTTTTCCGCTTTTTTCCCCCTTTTCCTAAGCCGCTAAGCCACCTATCAGCTGTTCCGCTGATAACCCGCTTAACAGCTGATCGCGAAAAGCCGCTAGACCGCTGTAGTGCTAATCCGCTAAGCTGTCAATGGGCTTGCTTCGCAAGACGAAAAAACCGCTAGACGAAGAGAATCGCGGAACGGATTCTTTTCGTCTTGCGAGGCACCACTGAATGTCATATTCAAAGTAGTTTTGGATGTGTTACTGTGCGGGGGGTGGGGGTGGAAATAGACATAATCTTGTACAGTCTGTTGCTTGTTAAATCAGACAGAGATGCAGAGAACCAGAGAGCACAATATACTGAACCTGCTTTGTAGTCACGCTAAACCATAATAGAAATAAGATATAGTTAATATGTATGAGCAGCATGCTGTTACACACTGCCGAAACCACTCCTGCCATGTTGTTAGAAAACAAACCATGGTCTGGCTTGGCATGTCAACTTAACCAAGGCTTATGGTTTGTTTGGTAGAAACAAACCACAAGCCCAAGTTCAGATGTCACAACTAGCCAGACAGCACAGCTGGAGTGGGAGAGGAGTGACGGACCCATAGTTTCAGCAGCATGCTGTTCATTCACATTAAACCATTGTTTTTAACTATGGTTTAATGCACCTCAGGTCAGTTACATGTCCTGTTCCCTGTACATCAGTCGCACGTCTGAAACTGATCTCAGTCTATAAGTAGACTAGATCAAAATGGAAGGGGATGGAGGCACCCTTTTGAAAGTTAAGGATTCTTACTGGATTTTCTTTCTCGTTTACAGACAACAAGCGGCCTAGTCCACAGAAGCCTTGGCCCGTCACCAAACCACTGCCTACTTTGCCAAGCAACTCTTTATCTAAACCAAAGAAACTGGCCACTTTGCCCTTGCCGCCTGCTGCTCTCAGGCCAATACAACCACCTAAGCCTAAGGATGATGAGGTAATGCTGACAGATAAATTAGGATAGTTATTAGATACAAAAGTTAGGCACGGCCACCTTAAGAATGAATCCTCTTGACCATGGCGATAGGGGGGTCACAATTTAAAATAATAAAAATGATGACAGTAATGATTGGAAAATTATTGTTCTAGGACCATTTGCACGTTTTATGAGTTTAGCACATTTCACATTCTCTATGTACAAAAGATTCAGAAGTGGAAGGGAGAGTTGTAGGAAGCCGCATGCTTATTCCTGTAAATAATATTACCCTGGCACTAGCAAGGCACTTCACATACAGTTTATTTATAAAAGCAGAGGGAACAGAATGGAGATCAAGATAATCAAGGCATAGGGAATAGGCACACAACTATTATTATTATTATTATTATCTTCTTCATCATACTAATCTTAAATCCCTGGGACTGGGAACAGTGTTAAAGTGATTGTACCATCTGAGGTCTTACAAACCCTCACATGCTCAAAGTGGAGACGTGCGAATGGTTTCATTTAACAGAATGACAGTGTGTTCATTTATTGTTTGAAGCATTCATTGCAATGCTCCCCCAGTGCTCACATCACTTGTCATACTCCCACAGTTGTACTAAAACCTCTAGAAGAGAAAGGCTCAGAACAGGTTCTCAACCCAGACCTGTCACTCCAATCCTTGGATGTTCCCTGTGCAGTTCTGGAAGATCAAGGGATGTTCTGCTCCTTTCAGTATTCAGAGGATGTGCCCATATTAAATGGGAATGATGTATGTGTGGAGCATTCTCTGCCGTTGAAGAAAACTAGCTGCTCCTGCACATGTGGAGGTCTTTGTGTGTGCACAAGAGGCCCCATGGAGCTTTGACTAATGGGCAGTGAGTCACCCCCAAATTATTCACATGCAGTCGCAGTCAGACTTAATCCATTCCCAGTATTACATTCTGTCCTTATAACAAACAGCCTTGGCTCCGCATACATTACGGAGCATCATTCTCCCATCCTTTCTTCTTCTTTGGTTATTTCTTTGTCTTAAGGCTTGATACATTCATACACCAATCCAGGAAGAAATGCTACAGAACAAGAAGGAAGAAAACTATTCATATATCAAATACAATTCATACACAGTTGATGCACCGAGTTTATTTTTTAAAGAATTTATCTTGTTTTTATGCTGCTCTTTGGCCATATTCCCAGGGCAGTTGGCAAAATAAAAACCCACCCCAAGCCCCAAAACAATTAAACTGTAAATACAACTGTGTTACTGCTGTAAATACATTTTGCAGAATGCAAAACAAAAAGGTTCATACAAGTAATAAAGCAGGTGCAACAAGTTTTAATTTCAGTTTAGTACATTGCTTTCCAAAACATTGATACAAGGATTCTGTTCTGTTGAAAATTTAAGAATGGGTTCCCTAAATGAAAAAGTAGCAAATTGTTAGCTTTGAATGTCATTGTTATTATTATTGCATTTTTACTGCCAAGAGGGGAGGGATAGACATGTGAGATTTTCTGACTTAGGTCCCAAAAGAAGCTTCCATCTGAGCGATCTGACCACATCGCTCACTGGTCTCAAATTGATTAATAATTGCAGAAAAAATCCTTTTGGAAACCAACAAGGAGAAGTCACCTACTTGTACAGAGCAGACATGGCAAACCTTTGGCCCTCCAGTGCAGCTGAACTATTAACTCCCATCAGTCCCAGCAAGTATGGCCCAATGGCTAGAGATTATGGGAGTTGCAGTTCAGCAACATCTGGAGGGCCAGAGGTTCCCCAAATTTTCTGTAGAGGATAATTAAATCATAGCTGTTAGCTCAACTGCTATTTATTTGTTGTTGGATCCATAGCCAGCCTGCTGTCTCAAAATCCCTCACAGCATCTTACAACATATAGTTAAAAACATTAAGCCAAGCATTGTAAAAGTACAAGTAAAGTAGTACCAAAATCTTAACTAAACCAACAACCTAAAACAGTTGAAATCACCCATAGGTCTGAATGGAGCAGTATGGCAGCCATGATGCAATTAGACCACACTGCATCTCAGTCCCTCCCCAACTTCAGAATGGCCCAACATAAGGGGGGTTAGTATTGCACCTGATGTCATGCTCAGAGTGGACTCATTGAAATCAATGGACTGAAGATTGTTGTTACTTACTTAATTCCATTCATGTCAATTCATTCACTCTTGAGTCAAATACAACTCAAAGGTCTCAAAAGGGCCAGTTTTTATCAACTACAGTCAAACCTCTTCTTACGTCCGCCTCCGCTTGCGTCCATTTCTCCCAATGTCCGCGGCAAACCCAGAACTAACCGTCGGGTTTGCCGCCGTTTGCACATGCACAGAAGCGGGAAATCACTGCCTGCGCACAACGGCGCCTCTCCCAGCAACCCATTTTGACCTCCGGACAGACCTCCGGAACGGATTATGGTCGCAGGTAGAGGTTCCACTGTACTTAAAATCCTGGTGATGGATGCCAAGCAAGCAGACCTCTTTCTTCCATTATTCAGGTGCTCCCATAGAAAAACCCATGCTTCTAGCACAAGACAGCTTCAGCACATACATGACATAAAACCCAAAACACTCAATTAATCTTGGTTCACTGGAGCTGGGGGTATTTATGGGAGAGGTTTCCCAAGCTTAGACCTTTGTGTGTGTTTTTTCATCGTCTCATAAAGACAATTTATCTAGGTGACATACTACATCGTCCATGTGTAAAACAAGGCTAAAACACAACACTGAATCCAAACCTGGCATAAAATAATGAAACAAACAACAGCCATAGCAATGCAACTTTATAACATGAAAAGAGAACAAAAACGTACCGACCACCATCAACCAGCAGAGATGAATGTTAAAATGATCGGAAGGGGGTTTTCCTCCCTAGGAGACTGGCTATTAATGGCTTTGCCGGGACAGAAAAGATAACAGTGGCACTTTCTACATCCCATTTATTTCACAGGAGAAATCTAATTGTGTGCTGAGAGCTCTGCATTGAAACCGCAGGGGAACGCACAATAGTCTCTGGCTGGGTCATGTGCTATTTTATACATACCCTATATTAACTCATCTCTGCATTTTCCTTCAGGCAGATTACGTTGTACCTCTAGAAAATGACGATGAAGAAGATAATTATATTCAACCCACAGAAGAGAGCACTCCGCCACCTAAAAAACGTAAGCATCTGGATTGTTGTTTTTTTACACACAACTTCAAGGAGCCAGCCAAGTGGGCAAGGTATTGGATCTGAAATGTGTAGGACTCCATTTCTGTCCAACAGACAGGAAGAAAATTCTCAGAATTGGGCGTGCAAATTTAGCTAGCAGGGCCATTCCTTTTGATAAGATCCAGTCTCTTCCCTTCACCTTCCAAAGGACTACAGAGGTGAAGGGAAGAATGCAGGAAATGAGGGCAAGCAAAAGCCACATTTTGAATTTGAGAGGTGATATTTTATGCACATTTTTAAACTTTCCATAGAACGATGAGGGCTAGATTCTTGGCTGCTGATTTTAATATATTCCTTCCTTTCTTTTTCTTGGGGTTCTGCACATACCACTAGATTTCTACTGTAGGCTTGCTGAACCATGTGTCTCCACGTTTGAACGGACCGCTTCCTTTTTAGTAAAGGAGCTATAATGCATATTTAAGTATACTTCTAAAAGGGGGCGGGGCTGGTATATTGCTTGCAGCATAAAAGAGAAAAATTCAGTTTCAAACAATTTTAAGGAAACCAATTTAGCCAAAAACACTATCCCCCGATACATGTGACTTTGGTTTTCATTAGTGTGACATGCCTATGTTTCTTTCATCATTTTAAGCCCCAGTGGTGAACAGATTGATCAAGCCCATGCAAAAACTCGATCCTCCCAGTTCGCCAGCATTGCCCCCTGTTCCTGCATCGCCTTCAACATTAGGTATGAAAGAATGTGTATTAGTATAATTATAAACACCATTGTATATGTTTTGAAGTTGTGGTTACATTTTGCAGTCCTTTTAAAAAGCCATCATAAAAGCAAGATCTAGGTTTGTACATATATATATATATATATATATTAAAGGGTGTTGGGAAACTGTGTCCCTCCAGATATTATCCCTGACCTGCAATCATCACTAACCATTGGCAGTGCTCCTTGAATTTGCAGCAGCCTCGGGGCTGATTTTTCATCATAAGTCATCCTGGATCTACTATATTGCCAACTAGAGGAAATAGCTCACTGTTTTGTCTGATAAGACTAGCAGGCTTCATTAATGCTGTACAGTGTAAACAAGCCACGCCAGAGAAGGGAGTTTTTTCTACGCACATTGTTTGGAACGTCAGAAAGTTCATTCATGGTACTCCTTTCGGTTTCTTTGGATGGTAGCAATGACTTTGCTTTCAAATAAAACAGCACCCCCTAGTGGAATTCATTAATGCTACGACTATCCCTACTTTCATCCTTTGCATCAATGACATTATTATTTAACACATAGTTAGGAAAGCTGGATTTGAATAATTTTTCCAACCAATTCCTTCTAATAAGTGAACATACACTTAGCCATAACAGACAGTACAACATTGCAAGACAAAAGTTTGACTTTTGCTGCTGAAATCAATGGGATTTAACTCATTTGTCCTCTCGCATTGATTTCAGTGAGGCCTGAATTCACATAATTTAGTCTGTATTCAAGTCAGAAAAAATAGAGCTTTGATAAAATGAAGTATGTTAGTAATATGCTTAAGAATTTCTTGCAAGGATCCTAAGATAAGTGAGCAGAAAACTTAACAGAAGGAAAATTTTCCATTCCCTCCCCTCAGCCTATATCCCCTTAATAAAACAGTGATGGCCAAACTTGGCCCTCCAGCTGTTTGGGGACTACAATTCCCATCATCCCTGACCATTGGTCCTGTTAGCTAGGGATGATGGGAGTTGTAGTCCCAAAACAGCTGGAGGGCCAGGTTTGGCCATCACTGCCTTAAAAGCTTTTCTGAGATGTCAGGGGACCTTCTTCAGTAATATGGGGTGGACACATGGGGGGCGGGACTGTTCAGGAAGAGCAGTTCCTGTTATGAGCCCCATGGAAACACCTTGACAGGAGTCGGTCCGATGGGGAGGAGGGGTGGGAAGAGATATGGGAACTGGAGGACTCTGACCCTGCAGGAGGGTCCCAGCAGATTGGGAGGTGCTGACATAGACTTGGGGAAGGGGCCGCGTTGGTTGCCAGGAATACAGCCTGCCTTAGGGTCATCTGATACTCCCAAGTGTAATGTCTTAGCCAGTTGATGTGACTCTGTTGCTACTCCCAGCCAGCAAAGAGCCACTCTCCCAAGGGGAGGCACAGAGGGATCAATCAGACAGTGAGCTGGCACTGTCATCACCAGGGAAATTGCACCAGTGCAAACAGACTCCCTCAACGTGCTCTCAGAAGTGCTTGCATGTTTGACCAGGCCCAAACCTTGGGACATCACAGTGCCTTCAGGAAGCCCTCCGGCAGCACCTGAGGATAATAGCTCTCTCCTGCTGTTTGCATTCAGACACATGCTGCCTCCAAACCTGGAAGTAGCACATAGCCATAATGACAAGTACCCAGTGATAGCCTTATGCTCCACAGGGTTTGTCCAGTCCAGGGATCACCAAACTTTGGGGCAGTGGGCAACCTTGGAATTTTGAGAAACTGCCATGGTCACCGGTCCAAAATTGGCTGCTAATGGGACATGGCATAGCACAGACTATCAACTGCATAAATGAAGGTGTCCATCACACTCTTCAAAAGGAGAGCCCAGGGTGTGTTTCAGAAGCTTAGGTTCTACCTAGCCATGAACTCTCAAGCTCTGCCATGCCTTCAGGATTTGTGACCTGTAACCCAACTTTTGTTTAGGCACTGTAGTGAATCTTGGAATAAAGACAACCCTTTGTCTTACCCAGCATTGTCAGTGAGGTCCGACTGTCCTTAGAGGTTTCTTTCTGTGAACGTCTTTCTTTTCACTTATCGTAGGACTGAAGCCAATGATGCTTAATATTGCTAATATTTTTTGTTTTAATCTGTTTCTAAATATCAGTGGCTTTTCACCTTTCAGAAACATTTTAGCACGATCTACAAGTATCAAATGTCCTGCCAAAACTGGTTATCATTTTTTAAAAAAAATAGAACTCTCTCTATGTATAGTCATTCCTGTATCTATATTTGTGCCTGCCTGTTTGGTGTTTTGTTTCTAACTGCAGAACATCCTTCTTTTTCCAGATGTCTATGAGATTCCCGAGGAAGAGGTAAGACCTTGTGTACATACCTTGAAAACCAAACGCTGCTTGAGTGCTAAAAACTCCATCTGCAAAAAATCTCACCTGTGCAGAAGGATCCTGTTTTTTATTGAAGAGAAGAAATGTTCCATGCCCAGAGTGGAAAATGGCATATGGTCCATTTTGTGCTCAGATGAAACCATGTGCATGTTCAGAACAGTATTTCACACATTTGAAATATCAAATGGAATACATTCTGACCATACTAGACATGGAAGTTTCCTTGTATCTATAATATTGTGACGGGGGACTTCCAAGTCCCTTTCCATTTGCATCACTTCTTTCTCCTCATTGTCAGGAATGTTCTGTTCATAGTCCTTCTTCTGAGAGCAACTCTATCCAATACAGCTTATGTCTCGACTCTGTCCTCTTGTGGGGCAGGTTCTGTACAACCTGTCTTTTATTTGTATGGAGGTTTTTTTAGGTTTTATTGGCTTGTTCAATTTTGTAATTGGTTTTAGTGTATATACTGTGTTATAAATCACTGGGTAAAAGTGACTAAATAATAATATTATTAATAATAAACAATTCATTCTCTCCCTACAGGAAAAAGCACTCCCTCCATTGCCCAGGTAATATGAAATCTGTGTGAAAATCTGTTTTAAAAATTTATTATGTGATTCCCTGCACAAGTGTATGTCCTCCTAGAGGTGTATTCATCTACTCCAGATACTTAAAGCACATTTAGATCAATGGTTTATGAACGGACTAGAATTCAACTCCACTTAAGTGGAAATAAGGGGGAGGGAGATCAAATGAGAGGGAGGTTTGGCTTTAGACACCAGGCAAAAATGTTCCTCTTCAACCAGGCCTTGGACTGATTAACGTCCGATGCCCTTTTAAATGTGTTGTGGGAAGGGGCATCCTTGGTTTGTTTGTTTGTTTGTTGTTTTATGTTATTATGTTATGTTATTTTTGTGTTTTTTATATTGTATTTTTATGTTGTGAACCTCCCTGTGATCTACGGATGAAGGGCAGTATACAAATGTTAATAATAATAATAATAATAATAATAAACTAACACCTTTAGGATTATGGCCATAGTCATCTGACTGGTGTACCTTATTTGCAAACTGAAACCATATAGTCTCTAATGCTACAACTGAGACCTAGGAATTTATTAGAAGACTGATGCATATTTATGGTTATCTTAATAGGAAAAATATGCCCAGCACCATCTTTTTCAAGAAATACGTCCTGTAAACTTCTTCCAGCATCTGTCTTGCCTTCCAATTATGAGAGTATCCGGGCAAGAAAACTGTTCATTAATCCAAATTCACAACAGCTGGGCAAAACTTGTGGGCTAGTTCACATTTTTTGTAAACGTAAACTTTTAATATGAAACCTAGACTTTTAATATTTTCATCCCTAAGGAATTCCAAGCAACTTCCTCCGAAACCTGGACAGAGACCTGAACCCAGAGGACACTCGCTTGAACACAATGCAGCTAAAGAGCCCTTTAAACCTGACGTGCCCAGGTTAGTTATGAATAATTAGAATATCTATAACAATCTATGAGTATGTTACATGAAAAGGGGTTCACACTGAGCATTCAGTTTGGCATTGTGGGTACTGCATGTTCCATTTCAAATGCCCAGGCTCCATATGCACTATGCATTTAAGGCAGTATCATACCATTTTAAACAGTCAAGGCTCCCCGCAAAGAATCCTGGGAAGTCTTGTTTGTTAAGGGTGCTGATAGGAGTTGATAGGAGACCTTTATTCCTCTCTCAGATCTGTAATTCCCAGAGTTAGGAATTGGGGTTGGTTTTGCTCTCTGCATTTTTCTTGATGCTGTTGAGCAGTGAAAATCGTGTCCACTGTCCCCCTAGAACAGGGGTCAGCAACCCGCAGCTCCGGAGCCACATGTGGCTCTTTTACACCTTTGCCGTGGCTCCGGGGCGGATACTAGCGAGGGGAGGAGGCGCATTGTGTGCCCTGACACTCCCCACTGTTTTAAATGTCGCAATGGTTTTGCGGCTCCCAGGTTTTTTTTCTTCGGTCCAAGTGGCTCTTTTTGTCTTAAAGGCTGCAGACCCCTGCCCTAGAAGGTCGAAAACCATTTTGGGATTCAGGAAGGGAAGCCTCAGATATAGTTAGGAGATGGTTTGCTAAGATCCTTGCAAGAATTTTGCCAGCCGCAAGTAATAAAGAGATGCCTCGATAGCTTCTGCAGTCTGTTCTATCATCCTTTTTAAAATGGTTGATAATTTTGGTATCCCTAAAGTCTACTGGGATCTCCTCTCTCCTAGATTTTTTTGATGAGCTTGTGAAGTTGTTGTTCAAGTTCAGTTCTGCCCACTTTGAAGAATTCGGCAGGTATGCCATCAGGTCTGCTGGTTTTGTTGTTTTTCATTTGGTTAACAGCTGTACACAACTCTCCCAGATTTGGAGATACTGCAAGCTCATCTCTAATTTGTTTTGTGGAATTCGTGAGAGGACCTCAGCAGCCATGGGAGGAGTTGCGGTTAAGGAGATGCTGGTAATGTTCTTTCCAGCACAGTGCAATAGCTTCTTTATCTTTTAGAAGTGTGGCATATGCATAGGGGGCATATGCAATGATTTATTGGTCCATAGATGGTCTTGTAGCTTTAAAGAAACACTCTGCATCATGAGTGTCGGCTAAGTACTGGACTTCTTGAGCTTTTTTTATCCACTAAGTGTTCTTTGGTTCTCTGGTTCTTCTTTGAACTTCAGCCTTAGCATTGGCATAGGTTTTTTTCTTAGTGGCACAGTTCTATCTCTTTGGCAGATCTGAAAGGCCTTTCTTTTCTTGTCAATAATGTGCTCAATCTCACTATAATTCTCCTCAAACCAGTTCTGGTGTTTCTTGGTTTGGTGTCCAATAGTTTGTTCACAGGCTGCAATAATGGAGTTATCAGGGAACTCTGAAAGCAGATGGTCCTTAAGAGTTGTTTGGAAGCAATCTCACTTAATAGGATCTTGAAGGGCTTGAGTGTTCATTTTGTGCCTTGGTTTCCTTCCTTGAAGCCTGTGTTGAGGTATAATCTTGGTAGCCATCATGGAATGTATTAATCAGTGATCTGTCCAGCAGTTGTCGGCACTCATCATAGGGGAGAACATCACGGCGATCTTCAGCTCAGACAATTACATAGTCTAAGAGGTGCCTGTGGTTCGACTGAGGGTGGCTCCATGATGTTTTTTTTAAAAAAAAAAATGTTGAAAGAGTGTGTTGGTAAATAGCAAGGTTGTGCACTGCACATATAGTCAAAAGTAAGATTCCATTCTGGCGTGCTCTGGTCCATGGGGTCACGAAGGGTCGGACACGACTAAATGACTAAAGAACAACAAGATTCCATTGTGGTTGCTGTTGCCAGTTCCTTCTTTCCCAATAGTCCCAAGCCACAGATCAAAATCTCTCCCAACTCTTGCATTAAAATCACCCAGGAGGATAATTTTCTCCTTAGGCATCTCTGATAGGATGGCATCCAGCTGAGAATAAAAAAATTCTTTAATGTCTTCATCGACATCCAGTGTTGGTGTATAAGCACTTAAAAATAGTAGCCTGTTGGTTTTTGGTGAGTTTCATTAAAAGGGTTGAAAGTTGTTTAGTGCTGACATAACAGCACTAAATGTCAGACATCTCTGCTCTACAGGAAATCCACTAGTCTCTCTCTCTCTATGTACGCATAATTCATCCTAATCAGGGTGCTTGCTACAACAAAAGTTTCAGGTGAAACTGAAATTATAGCAAAGCAGATAATTACTGTTACAATTAAGAGCAAAAAGTTTGATTAAAACATTTTATATGCTTTCCAGAAATGTTTTGCCACTTCCTAGGAACCGGCCACCACCAAAAATTGTAAGTTGTTAACCACCTACCTTGTTTGAAAGGCAATTACTTGCTGTTGCTTGAGGGACAGAAAACCAATTACATTCTGATTTTTGTTGAGAAACAAGTCCTCATGTCCTGCTTGTAGGCTTCCCATTGGCATCTGATTGGCCACGTGGATAATAGACTGATGGACTAGATACATCTTTCTTCTTATCTAGAAAGCTTCTTTTTATGTTGTGCTTTGAACTAACAAAGATCTTCACTGAAGGATTGGAAAATGGCATTTATTCCAGTTTTGTCTAAATAATTTAGGAGAGCACATCTCCTCTGATTAAGATATTTGTTGGCTCAGAATCTGTCCCATTAAACTTTAATTAGTTTAATGCTAAGCATATGTCCAGTGCGCTTCCAATGCCACAATGTCCCGTTACAGCAGAGCTTTTCGCACAGCGGCTCAAGAAGGGCTCGAGAGTCAGCATCTTTTCAATAAAGGAATCTTGGAGCAAGCGGTTTGGAACTCAAATAAAAGGTTTATTTACACAAAACAAAAAAACCCTGGTGAAGAATCACACATATCAGCAAACACGCCCCAAAAGAAAGGAGGAAGGGGCAAACACACAAGTGAGTTGACTATTTATACAAACTCACATTCTGGGAGCCTAACGACCTCCAGCTGCTCAGTGATTAGAGCGTCTTGACTAGAGCTTCTTAACCCTTTAATACCAACACCCCCTCTCGCTCATAACACTGAGCTGTACCAACCTCAATTCAAATTTAAACCTGAACAGAAACATTTATGAGATTGCGGACTCAAAGCTTTTGTAAAACCGTCTGCGAGATTTTCTTGGCTTGGACAATACTTTAGTTCAATTAAACCTTGTTTTACACTTTGGCATACATTTTGATAACGGATATCCAAGTGTTTTGTGTGTGCCTTGAATTGACCTGATTTAGCTAGTTTAATACAAGGTTGATTGTCTTCCCACACTCTGATAGGTAGGGAACATTCTCCAAACAATTCTTGTACCAGTTGCTTATAAAATTCCAGTTCTCTACATACATCTGATAATGCATTGAACTCAGATTCAGTTGAACTTAAAGCTATAAGTGATTGTTTTCTTGATCTCCAACCAATTAGTGCATTTCCAAATTTTATCGCCATTCCTGACACTGATTTTCTATCTGGTCCAGCATCTGCCCAACTGCTGTCGGCCCAACATTCAAGTTGTGTGCTGCCCTCTGCTGATAGTTTTAAGCAAAACCTTTTGGTAGTTTGGAGATACCTTAAAACTCTTTTTACTCCTTGCCAAGCATGCATTGATGGTTTTTCAGCTTGTCTACACAGCATGTTGACAGCATATGTTATATCGGGCCGAGTCCACTGTGCAATGTGGAGTAGACTGCCTATCGCTGACTGGTAAACCCCGGGATTACAGAACTCTGCCTGTTGCTCAGTTTGAGCATCCTTTGTGTAACTTAACTCCATTGGGGTTTTAACACCAGCACAGTTGTCCATTTTAAACCTTTCCAGCAACTGCTGGATCTTAGCTTCTTGGCTGAGCCAATAGTTCCCATCTTCATCTTGCTGAATTTTAACTCCTAGATAAACAGATACATTGCCTAGTGATTTTATCTGAAACCTTTCTCCAAGCTTTGTGGCAAATTGTTGTGCAAGTTTATCGTCCTTTCCACTGTATAATAAATCGTCAACAAATATCAAGACTGCTTCTTGTTCACATCCCGAGCCTTTTAGATAAAGACACGCATCTGCTGCGCTCTTTCTGAACCCCATGCTCTCTAGAGCATCGTTTAAGCAGGAATTCCAATTACGGGCAGACTGTTTCAACCCATAAATGGATTTGTGTAGGCGCCAGACCTGGTTTGGCTTGTCTCCTTCAAAACCTGGTGGTGGCGTCATATAGACTTCCTCCTGTAAGTCTGCATTTAAATAAGCCACATTGACATCAAAATGAAACAGCTTATTTCCCTTCTTAGCTGAGGAGGCTAAAAGCATTCTTAATGACTCCGATCTTGAAGTAGGGGCATAGATTTGAGAATAGTGAACTCCTTTGCGCTGCGAAAACCCTTTTGCAACTAGTCGGGCTTTATATTGCAACTCCTCAGTAGTTGTGGGCTTTAAACGATATACCCATCGACAACCTACAGCTTGTTGCCCTTTTGGAAGCTCTGTACTTGTAAACACACCGAGAGACTTCATTGAAGCCATCTCCTTTTCCATTGCTTCCTGCCACTTTACGGCTTCTGAGCTTGGAAGCTGTTGTACTTCCATATAGCTATCTGGCTCACACTGTGCCATATTTACGTATACACTTGTCACCTTAAAACGCTCTGGCGGCTTGCCCTTCGTGGCACGTTTTGACCTGCGCAATTGCTCCTCTTGTGCCCCCTCTGACCGTTGGCTGTCAGAATCTGTCTCAGACTTTATGTCTGGACGTGCCTCTAGGGATAAAGACCTCCGTTTAGATACCTCCCTTGGGCTTGGTGTTGCAGGCGACCTGCTTCGCTTTTGCTGTCTGCTAGGCCTACTGACTGGCGATGTTGGAACACTCTTAGATTCTGGCTTTTCTACCTTAGGAGAAGAACCTTGTGCCTGGTCAGAATCTGCATCTGAACCATGTGCACCATCCCCTTCTGGCTCATCACCCTCTGGACTTTCTTTCTCAGCATAAATGCCTAAATCATCTCTCAAAATGTCAGGGTTAGCATGTAAGTGAGTCCATCCGGATTGCTCACAAAATTCAGCGCTCCTACTGAGGACCACTCTTGTGGTATCCCCATCTGGGTTCACGAACCTCCAAGATTTGGCATGTGGTTCGTACCCACAAAAGATGAGTTTCCTAGCCCTTGGACCTCCTTTTTTCCGTAACGCTTTTGGGATAAGTACATAGGCTTGAGATCCAAACACCCGAAAGTAATTAACTTTGGGCTTCTTCCCATATAAAGCAAAATATGGCGTAGTATCAATTACTGAATTATATACTCGGTTCAGAACATGAGTAGCCGTCTTCCAGGCTTCCGCCCAGTAACTTTGAGGAAGTTTAGCATCAAACAACATAGAGTTTGCCAACTCTTGCAGAACCCTGTTTTTACGTTCGGCCACACCTCCTTCTTGGGGGGAATAAGGTGTAGACAGACGATGCTTAATTCCCTTTTTCTTAAAGAAATTCTGCAACACAGACCCGGTAAATTCTGACCCTCTGTCTGTCTGAAAAGCAAGTACTCTAGTACCGAATTCAAGTTCTACTGCATGAACCCAATTTTTAACTGTTTCTGCAGTATCTGCTTTTGTTTTGAGAGGAAAAAACCATGTGACTTTTGTTTTGTCATCTGAAAGACACAGTGCATACCTCGAACCTCCCATGCTAGTAACAGGCATTGGGCCACATAGGTCCATATGCACAAGTTGGAATACTTTGTCAGATTTCCTATTTGAACTGGGATAGCTGCATCTATGAACCTTCGCCCTTTTGCATGCAGTACAATCCAAATACTTAGTACACTTGTTCAATTTGCACCCTTCTGATAATTCAGGTTGCCTTTTAACATACTGAAAATTAATATGTCCCAAACGGCGGTGCCATAAATGAACACAAGAATTATGGGTAGGCGAGTTCACACAACCAGCATGAACCTGTTCAACTTCATCTGGACTTGTCTCAAAATAATATAACCCATCTCTGCATTCCACCTGCAAAAGAGATACGTTATTCTTTGAAATAGTGCAAACCCCATTTTCAAACACAGTTTTAAACCCATTTCTATCAAGTTCTGACACAGACAAAATACACCCCTTCATTCCCTTTAGCACGTAGGCATCAATTTCTGTTTGCAAACACTTCAAAAACACTGTGCCTACGGTCTCTAAGGAACGTTTAGTTGAATCTGCCATTGTCACAACTTTAAGGGTTTGCAAATGTCTGCAATTCTGCAAACGGACACTAGATGGCGCCACCAGGTGGTGAGATGCACCACTGTCGATCAACCAGCGTAGTTTGCTGCCTTGGCCACGCCCTTGCATCAACGCCATTGCTGAAGCCATGTGCTGTGTGCTGTGGGAGTAGCCACGACCTCCTCCTCTTCTTCGACGTCCCCTGGAACTCCTTGTCTGGTAACTAGGGGTAACGGCCTTGGTGCTGTCTTGACCAGGTTCACGTGTACAATTCCTGATTAAATGGGAAGAGGAACCACAGCGAAAACAGTGTCTAGCTGCAAAAGCATTTACTGTGTTCTCAAACTCAGCATCCCCACTCTTAGGCACAGCATAACTCCCCTTTGAAGACAAACCTCTTTCTCTTTGCCTTTTATCCTGTTCATCTGCAAGTCGAGAAGAAATGTATTCAAGGGTTAATTCAGTTGAAGGCATAGCTTCCAAAGTTAAAGCTAGAGTCTCATAGCTTTTATCAAGAGAAGACAACAAAATGTATGACTGCTGCTCCATAGAGAAAGGAATCCCCAGCTGTCTTAGTTGATTAAAGGCAGACACCATTTTGGCAATATGTTCTTTCACACACGCTCCCGGTTGGAGACGTAAATCAAACAAACATCTTGTAGCATGGATCTTGGCCCCCGCAGTGTTTCTGGAATTTAGCCGCTGCAGAACCGTCCAGACCTCATGCGTGTTCTTTAACTCAGAAACATAAGGCATTTGCTCTGGTCCCACTGCCAAAACTAGTAGACCTTGGGCTTTCCTGTCGCGTTTCTGAGAAGCTGCCGCTGCTGCTTTGTCTTCTGCAGACGCGTCTGCAGCTGCCTGTAAAGGCGGTGCTTCAGTACAACTCCACAACTCTTTTGCTTGCAACCAAACCCTTACTCTAGCCTTCCAATCTTGCCAATTTTTCCCATTGAGTCGCGTAAAGGGGACAGTAAAACTTTCCTGGGACTCTGCCATCCTCCCTGGGGCTTAGGAACGATACTCACACACCTGTAGACCGTCTCCCAGCTGCTGAGGTGGCTCCTTGAGGAATAAGACGTCTTCCAGCGAGTACAAACTGCGCAGTGCCTGTTTAAAACTTTTTCTAGGCACGTTGCAGGACTCAAGCTGCTTTGAAGGCTTTTGTTGTCGGCAACCGCTTCTGTCTTCGCTCCAGTCCTTTCATAAATCACTCTGAACTGCACTCCTTATCTCCTTCTTGACGTACAAACAGCCATAACCTGTCCCATTAAACTTTAATTAGTTTAATGCTAAGCATATGTCCAGTGCGCTTCCAATGCCACAATGTCCCGTTACAGCAGAGCTTTTCGCACAGCGGCTCAAGAAGGGCTCGAGAGTCAGCATCTTTTCAATAAAGGAATCTTGGAGCAAGCGGTTTGGAACTCAAATAAAAGGTTTATTTACACAAAACAAAAAAACCCTGGTGAAGAATCACACATATCAGCAAACACGCCCCAAAAGAAAGGAGGAAGGGGCAAACACACAAGTGAGTTGACTATTTATACAAACTCACATTCTGGGAGCCTAACGACCTCCAGCTGCTCAGTGATTAGAGCGTCTTGACTAGAGCTTCTTAACCCTTTAATACCAACAGAATCCTTCCCCGATTGTTCCTTCAGTTTTCTGTGGCTAAATAATCTGGCTTTTCTTATTAAGTAAATGTTGTTTGGTATATTTAAATACCAAAATCTGAAAACTGTTATTTTGATTTCAGGAACCGGATAGCCTCGGAATACAAGATGATGACAGTAAGTATATTCTGCCCTGGATACAATTGAGGGGCCTTTTGTACTACGGCTGGAGGGTATCGAAAGCCACTCCAGCACCAAACTTCATACCTCCCCCTTCATTCCACTTAGACTGAAATCCTAAGAGACTGGGGCTACATTCATACATCTGCACTGTTAATATTCTCTGTGTATCTAATGCATATATTTCTGTGACATATGTATTTCAACCTCCAGATGTTTTGCACTTCTATACCTATCATTGCTGGGTATTGGCTATGCTGGCTAGAGATGTTGGAAGTGTAGTCCAAAAAAGGGGGGGCACTAAACATTGTGTCTGGATTTTTAGATCTCAGCAGCAACAGCGCTCCAGAATTCAAGGCTCCTTCTGCTACAGTCCCATCTCCATTTCCACGGATTCCGTAAGTTATAAAAAGATGTTACTTTAAAACTATTCCATGCACTCTCAGCATGTACTGGAGGCAGTAGAGTCCTATGCATTAAACCCATTATATAAAAGACCCCACTGGGTTCTTTTTAAATGCTCATCACCATTAAGCCAAGCAACATAAAAGGTTTCCATGAGCTGGATTCCCAATTCTAAGAGGCCTTTCCTGCCTCCCTGTTCCCACTGCAGTCCTCTGTAAAGGCTCTTGGAAGGTCTAAGGATCTCTTGGGCATGGCACTTGATGTGGCAGGTGGGGCTGGAGGAGGAGGAAGGGGGTGGATTCCCCTTGTGTGAGCCAAAATGCCTTTCACTCATGTAGTGACACTTTTGCCTCCGAGCTTATGAATCACATGCAATAACTCTCTCTTTCTTTTCACTTGCAGGAAAAAATTACCAAATCCAGCACTGCCATCAGTAAGTTGATTTTGATTTTCAAAATATTATAACACATTGAAAAATAAATGAGAATACAACAAAACTTTCAATCATTCCATAATACTAAACAGTGCTTAACACAACCATTATCCTAAATCAGCCACGTTGTTCCAATTTCTCGGTGCTATATGGTAAAGAGGCTATTTGTACAGTGAATTTTGCTTCTGCTGACAACCAAATCCTCAGTGTGCTACTGAACGGAGCAGAAATTTATTACAGCCAATTGCTGTGGCAGATATTTGGTGCTTCTCTTCTTACAAAGTACAGTACTTCTGTGCCTAGCGAAGGATATCCTCTACCACAAGCCTAGAAGGGAGCAGAGATCTCAGTCAGTTGTGATGTCAGATCACTGTTCGAAGGGCATTTAACCACACAATCTTAACCCAGTTTACTTCCTATGTCCCTGTAGAAACCAAGCCTCCCTGACAGAGATCACCTAACTGTTATTGAAGGTAAACTACTTCTACTGTTCAAACATTTGTCTACCATTTTCTTATTAATAATGTGTAAAACTCTGTAGTGCTGCAAGGCCGCATACACTATTGAATCCCACAGGATTGATTTTGTCTAACTCTTCTACGAAAATTCAGATGGGGGTAGACCATAGCTCAATGGCATAGCACACACCTCCATAGCATCTCCAGTGAAAAGATCAAAGAACAGAAGATGGAGAAGACCTCTTCCCAAGACAATGGAGAACTGCTTCCAGCTAGGGTAGAACATATTGGGCTAGATGGAACAACAGCCTGACTACTAGAAGGCATTTCCCTCTATTCCAAGAGAGCTTTTGCAAAGTAGAATTAGCAAGGTATTTACAACCACATCCAATTACTAGATGTACCAACTAGCAATGTCATCTTCTCCTAAAGTGTTTAGTATGTATTGACTGGATTTGTGCTATAGGGTGGGAGGGGTGCAAGTAGATTGGTCAGTGGTCTACTGGGGGTTCACCAGAGAGCCTGGCTATTCACTTTTGCTTTGCAAATTTATCAAGTGCATGTGAACCATGCGGATTCTCAAGAGAGAAGACCACCACCCAAGTCTGAAGTCAGCTCTGGCACAGTGCACTGTGCACCCATCTCATTCTGCTCATTTCAACAAGGTGCAATGGGACTAGTAGAAAGTCTTGCTTTGTTGCAAGGTGTTGAGCAAGTGATATCCAGTTTCCCTTCCACCTGTACGTATAATGCCACTCTAGTTGTAGAACTGAGGACTGAAAGCCTGAGAAGCCCGTTTTGCTCTCCTCTTCAGGATTGTACCTTGTATTTCTTTATAGCCAAAAAATGAATAATGTGTGATATAAGGCACAATTCAGATGAAGATAGCAAAACCAGATTCTCAGCAGAGAGCAGATGAAGGACTAAAAGCTGCTGTGCCTTGACCTTCAGAAGTTGCAGCTGCAGCACAGCAGAAAGTGGAAGGTCAAATCACAAGGTAGGGTCCTTGTCACTCATGCAAGCTGAGCTACGGAGTATGTCACCAAGGGCAACTGAGACCCATCTGCATCCTTTCCCTAATCAGACTTCTCTTTTTCCAAATGTAGATAAACCTATACCAGCTGAACGCCGGCGCGTTTCCAATCATGATATCCCTCTTCCACCCATCCCACCCAGCATCCAAAAGTAAGCACATAATTTGCTTGAAATTTTTCGTTTTTGCTCCTGAGTTATGATCTGCTGGTTTCAATGTCTAAAAAGAAAGAGAATCCAAAATGGGTACAACTAGTTATTAGGCAAGAGATGAAATTAGGTACAAATGTCTTCCTTAACAATTTGCACATTAAATCCTCATAAATGAGCACCCTGCCATGTATTTGTATTGGGGCCCTGATCCCCAGTGCAATCACTACCTTTGCCTTTCCCCCTCAGAAGAGGGGGAAATGAGCTTTGGAAAACCTAAAATTAAAGAGGTGAAAAAATAATAATCTCAAGATGCAAGCATAATAAAAGTCAAGAAAAGTAGTTTTAACCAGAGGAACAGCATGTAAGCTCCAAAATTTGTAATGTTGTTTCTTTAACCTCCTGGCATTGTTGCACAAATTGGAGTTTAAGTGCTATTCCTTGAGGAAACTATTGACAATTTAGAAGATGCCCCTCTTTTCTTTGCGGCGAATATTTCCAGCAGTTGGGCGGACATCATCAGCAAAACATAATGGATTGGATCTTAACAACTCTTCTTAACTCCTCCCAACTGCAGCTCTGCATCCTTTTTTCTACAAGCAGAGCATAGAACAGGCTGTAGTTAGAAGAGAGAACTGAGCAAGTAGAGCTGCCTTCTGCTCACACTAAGGTTCTGTGGATACAACCCACTGTATTTATAAACAGCAGACATGGGATCCTGCAAGGGCTTGAGTACTTTCTTCTGAAAGAAAACCAGAAATAAACCAGAGGAGAACATTTCCTTAGGATTATAAAGGATGTATAGGTTTCCCCCAAGGAAAAAGCATGGCGGAAGAGCCTTGCTGGACTACCAGCATCCTATTCTCAAAGTGCCAACCAGGTTCCTGTGAGAAGCCCACAAGCAGTACCCAAGCGCAACAGTAATCTCACCACTTACGTTCCCCAGTGACCAGTGTTTAAAGTTATACTGCCTTTGGTACTGGAGTCAGTACACAGCCATCATGACTAGCAGCCATTGATAGCTTTCTCCTCCATGAATTTGTCAGCTATTGGTAGCCACCATGAATTTGTCTAAGCCAGGCATGTCCAAAGTTTGCTTCAGGGGCCTAATCCAGCCCGCTGGTCAGTTTAATCCAGCGCCCATGGCAGTTTATTTCCTGGGGTAAAATCCTTAAAAAAAAACCTCCACAATTTCAATCCTTCAACAACTTTGGTAGGCCCTCACGGCCCTTCACTTCATCAAATCTGGCCCTCTTTGAAAAAAGTAAATAAACTGCCACGGTAAGCTCTTTACAGTAAATACCACCCTTTTTGCTGCTTTGTATTTTTCTTTATTCCCTGTACGGCTTTCTCCTTTTCTGGTTAAAAGAAATGGTGAGCAAAATGCAGTTCCCTCGCTTACCTCAGTTGCAACGTGTGATACCACCCTGCATTTCCTCAATTTCTGTTTTTTTCAGACCGCTGCCTCCGAAGCCAGCAACGCTGCCAAGTAAGTCCTCCTTCATTTGACTTAAGTTGGGGTGGGTTTCCAATTCATGCATCTTCAGCACAATTAAGGAAGATTCCTCTCATGCTCTCTTTATGACTGGCATGGCAGCAAAGGCAACAGGCAAAGGGGGCTGCAATTTTACATGGAACATGGAATGTTACAGGTTGCCTTGTATCTTCCCCAGGACTCCCAGAACCCGTGAACCGCACCTCATGTGCTCCACGTAGTAGTAGCCTGCAAGGTGGTTCTACTGCAGCAGAACAGGTACACCACTATTGAAATTCATTTTTAAAAAGAGGGGGATTGGGGAGTGTGTTCCACAAACGTTTGGTCAATATATAATACAGCCGTAGGGAATTTCCAGGCCCCGGGCCTAAGCAGCCTCCCCATTTAGCACACCAGGCTGTTTCACTCACCTACCTTACAGCTGATGTCATATATTATGTCAGGTGTGGGGAAGGTAAAAACTCAGCTGGACAGAAAGGGAGGTTTGCAAGTGCCAATGATAAACTGGTTGTCAGCACTTGCAAAGTGCTTTGCCTGTGTCCACCTGGGCGAAAATGGGTCATCGTGACATCAGGTGATAAGACAGGTGGGCAGCCTCACCCACCTGTCAAACTAGACATGCAGGGAGGGTGTACAACGGATTCCTCCTATTATAAAATGCCAGTCCTCAGTTAGGTCCTTCAGCCAGTTCGCCACAGACAAAAAGCATCTTTTAAAACATAACCTGTTTAACATTTATTTCCTTTATGAGGAGTTAAATCTGTTGCAATTACCATTCTCGGTGTGTGGTCTGAAGGCATGCAAGGCCACCCTAGCAGAAACTAGGCAAGTGTGGGTCTAGATGGGAAACTTCCTAAGGACCACATAGGTAGGTCGCCTTGTGTTCCATGGTAAAAGAAAGGTGGTTAATAAACTGTTAGTAAATATAGCAGAAAGGTGTGTGGGAACAACTATTAGCCACACAATTAAGTAAGGGATATAAGCTCTTTTGTCATGAATTCTGCAACCTACATTTAAAAACTCTTCATAACCTGCATTTTAAAAATAGAACAAAAGTCATTTCATGAATAATTCTGAGAGTATGAAATATATACACTTGTGAATGTCTGGTGGTTCCCTCACTGTGAGAAGTAAGGTTACAGGGAACCAGGCAGAGGGCCTTTTCGGTAGTGGCGCCCGCCCTGTGGAATGCCCTCCCATCAGATGTCAAGGACGTAAACAACTATGTGACTTTTAGAAGACCAGCATCCTATTCTGGTCATCTGAAGGCAGCCCTGCATAAGGAAGTTTTTAATTTTGATGTTTTATTGTGTTTTCGTTTGTTGCAAGCCATCCAGAGTGGCTGGAGAAACCCAGCCTGAAAGCTACGCAAATGCTGGTTCGTTTATAGATATATATAAATTTATACATTGCCTCTTCATATATGGTTCTGATCTTAAATATGCATTCCGATCTTAACATTGGTTTGTTAAGGCAACATAGCAAATAAGTGCTTTTTTTGAGTGTGCAGATGGAAATGCCTCTCCTTTTCACAGGATGCCAGCGTTCATGGTAAAGCATGGTTTATGGCTTCAAGTGATCGAAAAACAGCTGAAGATGCATTATACAAATCAAACACGGTAAAAAATAATTTTCCAAAAACTCATAGCTTGTCATAACTCCTTAGAAGCATAGAAGGGGGAAAGAACTTGAAATTTACAAAATAAACATCAAGAGGGGAACAAATGACACTAGTTACAGGCTTTTCATACAATATAATTTGGGAACACTGATCCCAGAGCCCTCTTTCACAATGCATAATTCAGCCAGCTTGTGCAAAGATTAAACTATTCCAAGTCTCTTAAGAAGGCTGAGGGGTTCGCTGCAGGCACTACTGCAAGCTGACACAAAGTAATGGGATAGAATTGCCACCTTACTTGCAATGTAAGTTTACCATAAAGGCAAAAATGCACATTAGACCATGCAAGGGATGAAAGGAAGGAACCACCAAAATAGGGATCTAATCATTCTTATTTGCGTCTGTTTAAATTGATGGACCCATTCTGTTCTACAGGAAAGAGTCTTGTAGAACCTTTAAGCATGAACACATGTATTATGGCATGTGCTGTCCTGGACTTTGCTTCATCAGTGAAGTATTATCCGAAGTTGCAATTCCATAGGTACACGATTAGATGCTATGAAAATTTATCCTGATGTAGAACCTGTCACGAAAAACTGATTTTCCAGTCTGGGAAAGGAACCCACTTCCTAACCACAGAATCCTGCATTCTAGAACAGAATGCAATATTCTTAACAAATTCTACACACTCTCTCTCTCTCTCTCTCTCTCTCTCTCTCTCTCTTCTTTCTTTCTCTCTCTCTCTCTCTCTCTCTCTCTCTCTCTCTCACACACACACACAATTATCTTGTCACATTCTGCAGAAAAAGGCCATTTCCTCACTAGCACATGTAACACTAGCATAAGTTATATATAATTCAGATACAACAATGCAGTTTGCATCAGAGACCTTTAATCACCATTGATGTTAATTGTGAAGGTAAACAATAGACTTTTCCCAAGGGGAGTGGGTAGACACCAAGAGGGATGAGAAAACTGGAAGACCCCCATGCTAATATTTGGAAGAGCTGCACATTAGCTAGCATTTTTGAGTCTGTTAAGATCTTAGGAAAGAAAGGGTTACAGGGGGTGGGAATGAATTTCTATGTTATGAACCCTCATTAGTATTTGCTTTTTCATATATGACTTCTAGGATGGATCTTTCCTAGTAAGGAAGAGTTCAGGACAAGACTCAAAGCAACCATATACACTTGTTGTGCTTTATAACAAGAGAGTATATAACATCCCAATCCGATTTATTGAATCAACAAGACAGTATGCTCTGGGCAGAGAAAAAAGTGGCGAAGAGGTAGGTGATTGCATTTCTGTTTTATTTGGATGGAAATTTTAGTTACATTGCTTCTGGGCATGATAATGTATAAAAAGAAAATCTTTTTAAAAACTGATTTAACTATTACTTTTCTTACACATTAAACTAAACAGAAAGGGAGGTGATTCAAATCCAAACGAGACCTAATTAAAATGTGAGTGCAGTTCTTTTTTAACAATCAAGCCCTTCATTAAAGAACTCCCACTGGGAGCTCCTAACCGTAGCTTTTCCCTTACAGACAATAAAATGAAAAGCCCACCAAAATACTATCATTTATCCAAACTGTAGGGATGTTGTGCAGGTGGGGGCTTGTGGGGATGATAACAACTTAATTGAATGGAAGACAGATACACGCAATTCCCACTTGTAGGCCACTTCCCTTCACGCTATGAAGAAAATAGCCAAACAGTTGGATCCAAAGATGTCTTATCTTATTCTCTCGGAACAGTTGCTTTACACTTTGCTTTGAGCTAGAATATGAAACTAAGCCCACAGAGGGGGGAAACAGCACTATTTGAACTCTTCTGCTACCCTTTACATAAGTGGGGCAGCACTCAACACTACATTAATTTTGATTGTGAGTTGGATTCAAAAAATCATTAATTAGCAACTTCATAAAATTGACTGTACAAAGGACATTACTGGATTTAACAACAACTGCCGTAATGTGTCATGTACCGTCGATCCAATTTTACTCTTATCTTTCAGAAGATTTTAATTAAACTCTGCTGATTCTAAAAGTTCTGACCAGTACATATTACTTCTCAGGCAACTAATTTTTGCCCCCCTCCCCACCTCCAAAAAAAGTGTGCATTTAATGTTTGGGGATTATATTGTAATAAAAGCAAGTGTGTATACTGTCTTCTCACAAAACTGGAAATTTAGTCAAAGTATCCACTGTTAAATCAGAGAGCTCAACAGTATTGTTTCATATTTTTAATTCTCTCTTGGGGATAGCCTTTATATTTGTGCTAGGCTGCAATCCTAACCGTATCTACTCAGAAATCCCACTGAATTCAATGGGGCATTCTCCCAAGTAAAGAATGCAGCCTTTAAAAAACACCCTAAACTTAAAAATATTGAATGTCCTTGAAATGTTAAAAGCTTTACTGTACTACCCCAAATGAAAAACCCCATACAAAAGAATATCCTTTCACTCCAAGAGAGTGAAATGATATTGTTGAGTTCTTTTGATTGATATTTCATCTTTAAATTTTAAGAGGTATAAGTTTTTTGTTTTTTATGAAATGTGGAAGTGTGTTTTTCTTCAGTATGTCATTAAATTTAAGACAGATTGTTAATTCAAAGCATTTAGTTTCCAGTGTCATGACTAAAATTTTGCTCTGCTTCATCCACTTTTTAATATGATTCTCAATGGAGCCTTGTAAAACCAACACAAGTGCTGGAATGAGCCGGCTAAGCTCTAAGTAGGTGAAACTCGAAAAATTAGAATATCGTGGAAAAAGTTCATTTATTTCAGTAATTCAACTTAAAAGGTGAAACTAATATATGAGATACTCATGACATGCAAAGCAAGATATGCCAAGCCTTTATTTTTTATAAATGTGATGTTTATGGCGTACAGCTGATGAAAACCCCTGTATTATAATCAAAGTTTAGTTGTTGTTTTTTACCCAAATCTTGATGATTCAGTTTTTGGCTGAATCAGCAAGATTTGTGTTTTCATCCATGTTGAGTAAGCCATCTTGAACTCTTGTTTTCCCAATCCAGCACTTCAACAGTGTGGCTGAAATAATAGATAATCATCAACGGACTTCTCTCGTTCTCATTGACAGTCAAAACAACACAAAAGACTCAACCAAACTGAAATCTATTGCTAGAGTATCATAACTGCACTGAAGATCCACGGGGGGAAATCTTCCAGCCCTTATCTTCTGAGAATTTAAGATTGAGCATCTTAATAAGAAAGCTTTACACCAAGCACCAGAGCCTGAGAAGACCACACAATGTGTAAGAAGAGAAAGAGAGATTTTATTTGATATAGTTACCCAGTCTTTGAATAACCTACTGGTTGGCTGAATGATGAAGTGGCAATTTTACAGTCACACCAGCCTCTAAGTTGTTATGTACTTGAATGTACTTAGGTACTTTTAAGATGTTCCAAGTCCAGGTAAAGTATTCCTTGACAAGCGATATATTCAGAAGAAGTGTACCAGCTACATCTTAACTGTTCTTAAAGCAACTTCTTGGGAAAATTCACATTTGTTAAACCAGGATGTCTACGCCAAAATGAGCCATCATGGAACAAGCTAAAAACTGGACCTTTTTTTCCCTGGGACAGGTCTAAAAATTCAGTTCTATTTAATGTAATGCAGTAGATTTGTATTGGCTTCAACTGTGCTAGTTGAGAGCATTGTTACATGTTTATTAAATGTACATATAAATAAGAATATAAAAAGCCTATGATAGAGCATAGTTCTATGCAATTGTGACTGAGTGTACTTGTTGTAATCTTTCACATTTAAAGTACAACTTACCTACCTCTCAAATTATATTAAAATGGGACATAATCGCACACCTCTGCTTTTTTAGAAATGGGTAACAGGCAAATTCCTTGTGCTAATCATTTTACTGATTGTGGGCATGCAGGATCAGCTATCAAGGTTAGACTTAAGTTTGGAATTTTAGACTGTGCACAATTTAGGACAGGTGGGTATAAAATGAAAGTCTAATCATTAACTGATTCTTGCGGGGAGGGGGGTGTATTTTCCTCCATCACAGAATTTAAGACAAGATAGAAGGCACAACTTTGTAGTGAAAAACATTATGGCTTGGATCCAGCAAGCTAGTCACAGTGCTCATGGAGCTTTTCCTATAATTAGCAAAGAGAGCTCTCTGCGTTTCTTGCCTTCTGTCAGTGAAACTAGAGTTGAGATTTTGCTCCAATTTTCCAAAGGACAACCCCCTTATTTCTAATCAATGGCCTTATTCCCCACCTTCCTTTTCCTTCCAGATATATTTTGCATCAGTTGCATTTTACTACATCCCAATTGTTATCTAAATAATTTTCCACTTGCTTCTGAGTTATGCTAGAATTTTTTGGACACAGAACACGTGGCTTGCCTTCCTGTTACTTCAAAACTGAGTATTTTTCTTAAAACTCCAATTTCTATAATACAGTGTTTCTAAATGAGAATTGACAGCAAAGACCTGGGGTCACGTTTTTTGTCAAAGCTCTGATAACTACTCTCCTTCAGAAGGGAAATGTATTTCTGCTCAAAACTACACGCTTGTATGATTGTATAGCCAAATGATTTTCAGCTCTCATCTCAAGGTGAATAAAGGTAATTGAACAATGCCTCCAGCACTATCCTAATTAAACCAAAGCCCAATTTCAAAAGTCCTTTTCCTCCAAATCACAGCAAGTCGTGCTGGACCTACACAGGATATTATGGTTAAGACATGAACTTTTTTTCTTTCCAAATCAACCAATTCACAGTTAAGCACTCTTCAGGCATTCTACGCAGAAGTAAATTTCAAAAGGGAGATGGGTTGATGAGCAAGCTATCTCTGCCCACTTCTGCTGCTTCTTTTAGAAATTCTCTATGGATGCAAAAAGCTGCTCTGCAGAGAGTTGCCTTCCACAAATTGGAAGGCAAACGAAATGGAGACAGGTTTCCCCACTGCCTACCCTCACATTTTTACTTATACCCTCATTTGGAACACCTGAAGAGGCCTATTGTTTTACAGCAAACGAAGCATGTTTTTGGAACCAGTTTTATAGTTTACCATGACTAGGCCTGTCACATACCATGTGATTTGCAAAAATGAAAGTGGGGGAGGAAATGGTTTTTTTTTTCTTACCAGTCAGTATTGCTACATTAAGGAATACTTCATTTGGGTTTCAAATTCAATTAATGTAGAGTCAGTTGATGAACAACAAGCTTCAGTAGCTTAGGGAAGAAATAGTAAACCGGCAACAGGACTGATGCTCCAGAGTTGGGGCAAGTATTTTTACACAGCAATCTTACACATTCACTCAGAAGCAAGTCCCATTGACAAGAAACTCAGCTTCTAAATGCAGCAGCAATTTAAGGCCATTTTCCTGCCTTGAGTACATAATACTAGAAGTGAATGCCATTTAACACAGATATCAAAATTGTATAAAATCTACCGTTTCCTCAAAACCTTTAGCAAATATGTATGTAAATAATATGATGCTCTCCAACCTTGTTAACTGTGACAACGGATTAAAATTTAATAGCAATGTTACAAAAAAAATTAGTGGCAAAAAAATTACAGTCACCTTACAAACACCCACTCATGCAGCATTAAAAGTAGTTGTGCTGTAGCAGAGAACAAAAGCCACATTACAAATACACTGCCTGGCTGCTCTACAGCTCAAGCCATGTGGCTGAACCTTTGTGGATGGCATATAAATATTTAAAAGTCTAGCAACAGCCTTACAAGATCTCCTTTCTGGCTTGCATGTTTGTTCAAACTCTTACATTCAAGGTGAGGCTTGTGTCATTATGAAATATTTTCTTTTATAAATACCCAAAATAATTATGAATATAAAAGTTGGAATGTCCACACATGGAAATAGATACACCATACTACCTCCTTTAGTAAACTTATATTGTAGCTACCTTTTTAAAAAGTGCGCATCCTGTAATGTATCTGAGGATGTCACCTCAAGTAACTAAGACCATTTTTTAAAACTATAAATTTCTATCGGCAAGGTAATTACTGAATGTTACCATAAAGACCGGTGCTTTACTCATTGTTTAAAATTATTCAACACAATTAAAGAACAATATATCTCTATAACAAATTTATTAACACCAAGCATGTGCAGGGGAATTTTTAAGAGGTAATTCTGAGTTGCATTTCTTGTTTAAAAGCACATCATTTTCCTGAGATACTTTACTTTGTCGGAACGATTTAAACACTGGAAAAAGTTAAAAAATACAAATGTGAACCTGTTACTGCTCATTACACTTGATTTTTCTCCCTGCTCAATTCCCTTCAGATATGTCTAAATTTTCTACAGAGGACCAATATATAACTTAGGTACTGAAACACTGCCAATACTCAAATTACTCCCTGGCCTTACAACACAAAAATTAAGTATTTGTTATTTCTATCAATACGGATTATTCACAAAATGCCTGTTCAGACTTGACTTGCTAGGGACAAAGTTGTCTCAACACTAGTAGGTGTTGGGACAGGTGTATTTCTCTTTATCCCTTTCACTTTGGCAGGGGATAGGAGAAAAACTACTGTTTGATCCAGGCTATCATATACTTATTTAAATGCCGAAGATGTCCAACACAGTTTTTTCCAAAATCAGAGATGCAATGTTCTGTGTTACAACATGGATTATTGCAACTTCCATTTTATGACAAAGGGGGAGGGCACAATCAGCAATCACTTCTGCCAAATTGAGATTTCTCTCCTTTCTGTCCCGTAAGTAATATCTGAACAGGCCAGACAATTTAAAGATGTAATCTCTAGCCTACAAGGAGAAATAAAGACTGACTGCAGGCTATAAGAGGACAGTAGTTTGTATAGTGGATTGTGAATCAACACAACTAAAAGCCTGAGAATCTTGAGTAAAAACCTGATACCATTTCTAGAACATAGCAGCCAGTGCTATACTGTCAAAAAGACAAAAATCTATTCAACAATTAAAGAGACCACAATCAAAATGCAGAGTTTTTTGTCCAAATCAGAAGATAACCAAATATAAGAGGGTTTTCTTTCCTATTGTGGAGTGACAAATACTCCAGTATTTTATGAGGCATCAATGTATGGGATAAGAAAATCTAGATTGGAGCACTCTTTAAAAACTAAGTTATACTCTCTAGCCACACAAAAAGACTTACAGAAAAATAGCCATAATCCGATTTCTAGCAAAACCAAAGCCACCACAGCCACAGGCTGCCCTTTATATACATCTGGTGGCAAAATTATTCAGTATAACACAAATCATACTGATTTAATAGGGATGTCAAACATCCACTTGGAATGTTCTTCAATGTACTGTACAAATTGTGAATACATTATATTTACAACTGATCTCATTATCAGGCTTAAACACAATAACATGTTTATTGATTTATATGAAAAATACTTCACTAAGAAAGTAGACAAACTGCACAGAAATAGTACAAGTGTCATGTGCATAGCAATATAGCTTAAAGCATTCACATATGGCTTTGTTTAAAAGAAACTGTTAGAAAACCTGGCCCTATGAGGGCCTGTGGTTATACAGTTGACACAAAGTAAACTGCTTCACATCTTTTAGGCACTTGCTAACAACAGTGTTCATCCCTGGAAAAGAAAAGGGGGGTTGTCTTGAAAGAGCGAGGAAAAATACGGCAATAGCTGTGTGTAGCTGAAAAACATTTTTTTAGTAGTGCATGCACAGAGCTGAAAAAATACAATTCCTGTGCAAGATTTTATAGCAAATAACTGAAGTATAAAAATATGTACACACTTTGATTTTTAAATATATACATAACAAAAGCCCTGAAATTCATTCTCTAAATATATCACATGATAGTAGTAACAAAATGCAATTTGAACTGCAATTGAAGCTATTTAAATTAAATTCATACAGGATAATTTTAGGTGTTAACACATTTGTTTCTTTTAAAAACATCATTTTGATGCTGTCATCCAAAATAATCTGCAAGCAGATGAGCTCTTTTGTCTTTTTCAGTCATCACAATAAATTACCCTAATGAACTCCAGTCTCGAGTGGCTTCCATTAGATGACGCTGTCCATGTCCTACCCAATTGTCCTGATTGTCAAATATCCTCCCACAAAACCAGCACCTAAATTTAGTTTTCAGCGTATTATCAGAGGTAGTTTTCACAATCTGATAATTGTTTTTGCTCGTCTTCTTCAGTGTTAATTTTAAAACAAACCTTTCTTTTACAGGACTTACAGGTTTGAGCATTTTGCGTTTTCTTCGAGAGAGATCATTAGTAATTATGTACAAACTGTTATAATCTGCTGGCTCCAAAAGAGCATCAATAGTTCTCTTTGACAAGGAGACCTTTAGCACATGTCCTTTAAATTTAGCAATAGTCTTCATAACATTTACAACTTCTGGAACATCTGCATCAGGATGGTTTAGCACTACAACTGGCTGATTTCTTCGGGGGCATTTGATTAATTGTTTGGAATTAAATGGAAGTAGCTTTAGAATCCTCACAGTGTCTTTTGACAATCTTGGTCTACAAGGGGTGCGAATTAAGGATTCAAATTCATTCACATCCATTTGATTTTTCGCTTTACATTTTCGATGCAACATTTTCTTTCTAGGAGGTTCTTGAAGGCCATCTTTAACTTTCCGTTTCAAATTCCTGTTCTTCTGTGAAACCGTAGCATCAGAAACTTTAGCACCAGTTTGCTTTGAATGACGTTTAGCTTTTGAAAATTTGTTTGTCGGTGGCCCGGTTGACATCTGGGTTCCAAAAGCATTCCCTTTGTTAGCACTAACTGTTTGTGCTGAATCAGATGGAATCTTTTGTGACCGTGTCTTTAAATTCCTAAGGGAATGTACAGATTCTACAGAAGTAGTAGGATCCTTTGATTTATCAGTTGCCAAACAGGCATTTGCTGGCATCAATGTACCTGGAAGCAGTAAGGCGTTGCTAGAAGAAAAAGCTGCCTTTTTCTGATCTAGTGCAGGACTATTAAGGGAATGCATATTATTGAACTGTAAAGATGACTTAATGTTGCTAATTGGCTGACAATTGTCAGCAGCAGGAAAGGTCTTAATTTTCAAAAAAAGCTTTTGTTGCATTGCTCCAGTTTTCTTTGGTTCACAATTTTGACTATTAGCAGTACCTTGAATAACATTATGCTTCTGTACTAGGGACTTGTTTGGCGACATACATTTAAGAAAAACTGCTTGTCTACCATCAGGCAAAAGTGCATAAACAGGTTGTTCTTGTCCAACCTCTGGTTGTTTTATTGACTCCGAGGTAGCAACATTACTGCCTTGATGTCCAGCCTGTATTTTCACGGAAGAAATTCTGCTCTCTGAATTTGTCATGTTAAGTTGCTCCTTGTAGGACATGCCAGTGGATGAAGCAACCGCTGTCCCACTAACACCAGAATAATTTCTTATACTGCCAGAGCTGTCTATTTTAAATTTCATACCTGATGTAGCTATTTCTTCTTTACCACACTCTTTAGATGCAATTTTCTCTAAAACCTGAGAACTATTTTCAGTGGCATTTGCAATTGTTCCAATTGAGCCACTACCAAAAGTCAAGATCATTCCAGGTCCTTTGTTTAAAAGTAAAGGTGTAGCTCTTGTTGCCTGAACATCTGATGAACTGTTTTTTGGAGGCTTCCCTGAAATAACATGTAATCCTTGTTGATGGGCAAGGCGCAAAGGTACAAAAAACCTTGGGAGAGATGACTGAAGTAGCACTGATTTCTTCTGTTCTGGAAGCATTGGACGGGTAGCATTAGGGACATTCAAACTGTAGTGCATCTTGTGTTTTTCCAACTGCTGTGCTAAAATTGAATCTGTTTGACTTTTAAGCAATGCACCAACGCCTGTTGTCCTTGAAGTAGAATGCATTTCGTCTGTTCTATGAGCCATCACTGGGAGTCGTCCTTCATTCCTAAAATACACACCTTCATTCGTTGCACTGCCATTCGCATTCAACTCTCTCTTGAATTTAACAGGAGAATTGGTTAAACTGCATGCAGCAGCTGAATCTCTGAAGTGTGCAAATGTTTTACAATCCATTTTATTATTTGGAAATGAGTTGTCATAACCAGTTTTTATATAGTTGAGTGGCTGAGTAGCAGGTTGCCCTCTTAGAACATCTTGTAATGACTGGTTTACTTCAGGTGACAAATAGTTGGATGCCTGAGCACTCTGGAGTGAGAAAACAGATGTTATTTTAGGCATAAGTGATGTATTTACACAATTAGAGGCATTTTCTTGTTTTGATTTTTCAGCTACATGTTCCAACACTTGATTTACCTTTGTATTCAAATGCTGCTGATCATCATGATTTTCTATAGGATGCTGTCTGTCAGTAGCATAATTGGATTGGTTAGCTGAAAATACTGGAACATTGTTTGTATTTACAAAGCCATGAAGAGACAGCAATGAAGATCTTCTTTCTAGATTTAACACTGTTTGTTGTTGCAGATAAGTGGTTTCATTTACAGGCCTACTCTGGAGACAAAAGGCGCTGTTGGACATATGGTGTTTGGAGCTATCCAAAGTATCTATTTTGGAATAATTATGGAAAGGCAGTGGTACTTGATTAGAAAAATCAGTTGATGGGCAGTAGATATTATTGTATTTACTGTTGTTTACTTCACCATTCCGTAATTTTAATTCTGTAGGAAAGGTTTTTTTCATAGGGTCATAATGTAGCATGTGTGCACCAGCAGAGGATAAAACCTGAGAATGGTCCTGAGGTACACAATTCCTCCATGAAGAATCTCTATTTCCAGCCTTAGCCACAAAATCACAAGGAAGTGAAGAATCTGGTTTTGCTGGCAGACGAGTTGTACAGTTTCCTACCATTACAATTTGAGGTTCTACTGTTCGAGATGTATTCAAACTAAAATAATCTGGACTTTCTTGCTTTATTTTTCCTGAATATTGATTAGAAAATGACAATGGAGATGATGCCAATGAGTGAACAGAATTATTTCTAGATATTTGCTGATTAATTTCATGAGGTCCAGCAGCGGAAGGTAAATTGAAGTTGTCAGCTGTCTGCTGCAGACATTCAGTTGAGCCATCTTTTACCCCATCAACCTTATTTTCTGTTGGCAAATTCTGTTTATCTGTAGGGAGCAGTTTTATTACTATATGCTGTTTTCCATCAACCACCTTGAAGCCCATAAATTTAGCACTGTAATTTGCAGGAACAGATATTTTGTTGTTTTTAACCATCAAAACTGTAGGACCATGAACAGCTTTTTTCAGCACGCCAGAACCCAAGCCATCTTCTGCTCTACTGTATGGTATTGCTGGAGAGGATTTTGCCCCACTGTAGATATGCCTTTCATTTAGAAGATTGTTGTCTTCATTGAGGTGTAATTCTTTTGTAGGCTGGCCTAGCTCTTCAGATTTAGGCTGCATTTCCTTTGCGTTTTTGAGAACTTGTCTGTCCTCTTCTCCAGTTCTACAACTGCCAGTAGTCATTCTTTTGCGTCTCCACAGGGCCTTCCTCGATGCACCTGTTTTGTACCTTTTCAAGATAAGTTTTAGTCCTGTTGAAGTTTTCTTCATCTTCTCATTGTTATCTGTATCCGTTTTATCTTTTGCATAGAGGTGGTCTCTGTGTAATGTAATAATATGTTTTAAAAGATAGTTTTTCCGAGATGCCATGTAGTTACAATATTGACAACTGAAAGGAAATGTGCCAGTGTGTGAAGCAACATGTTTCTGAGACTCTTCTTTTGAAAAACTTGCATGGTGACATTTATCACATTTATATTGTATTTCATTGTGCCGATGAATATGCTGAACAAATGTGCCAACATCATGGGTGGAAAATCTACATCTTTCACATTGAAAATGGCCATTTACACAGTGCCTAGATGTGAAATGTTTTGTTAGGTCCAACAAAGTATATCTATTATCATCATTACAGATTTCACATTTTACTAAAGTGCTACGATGTGTTCGACGGTGTTGATTAAATGATTGGAAGTCATTAGCTGAAAAATTACACATTTCACAGGGGTAAGATGGCAACTCTCCACGATGTAACAGCTGGAAATGCTTCTGCAGATCATTTGGACTGTACTTAACATTGTTTCTGCATTTGGTACAGCTAAAATTCAGTATCTTTGCAGATGTTTTCAATCCCTCCTCATAATTCAGTCTTGGTTTACTATGTGGAATATCAGTCTCAGAAAAGTTGCTTCCATTCACATCCATGTGCATGGAAAAGGCTCTTGCAGGCTTTTCTTTACATTGAAATACTTTCATGTATCTGTCAATTTCATGTGTACATAGCACTTCATTTGGAATATTTACCCTAGGCAGCTCTATTTTCACATTTCTCAGTCCATAGGTGAGAATATCTGAAATTGCAGGTTGAGTTATATACCCCTTAACAGAAGTATCCAATGTAGGAACACTTGTTCTGTCTAACTCATTGTTATGTAACAAACTTGTATTTTGGATGCAAAAGGATGGTTCTTGTTCAGATGGCATTTTTCCTAAAGTACTCTGTAATTTACTATTTTTGTACTCTTCGTTATTTAAGAGACTCTTGTGCAGAAGTACTCAAGAGTTCCAGGATTTCCTCAGTTTAGTAAATCTGGAATTAAAAGTACAAAGTTAATTTTAAAGGTTAAAAGGGGGGAAGATACCCATAGTTTCACATACTAAAAGCAGCATAATGACTGACACCTGTGTGCTAACATAGCCATTAAAACTAAAAAGGCACAAAGCTTTTGATCAAAGTTGTTTTTTTGTCACCACAGACATGTCACATTTTTCCCCATTAAACCCATAATCCCCTTGATGGGGATTAAGAATTGAAACCTTCACAGTGACACTCAAAACCTTTCAGCTATTGGGGTCTCCTTTTAGATACTCAGATTACTTTGCTCCTCCCACATACGAGTTATTCTCATAGGTTAATTCCTACATGAGTTAATGCAGTGCCAGAAGCAATGTGCCATTGTTTCAGCCACAGCTTTTCTCCCAAATCAGTAGAAGACAGTCAAACCCTACCTAGTTATGTTCCTGGCCTTCCACCTCCAAGGTGATCAGTAAGTCAATCTTCACCCAGTTTCCTATGATCGCCCCATATTCTACACATTTGGACATGATGGACTGCTTAACACAGAGGCTGCCAACCATTTTATAAAAAACAAAATACACAAACAGGAGACTCAATTACCAACAAGCACAGACTGTACTATGACAACATGAAATGAAAATAACCTTAAATGTCAACTAGGACTTCAAGCAGGCAACTTACCAGAAATCTCAATTAAGTAGATTTTAAAAGATGCTTCACTCTGCAATACAGCAAACAAAAAAACCCTTACTACGTGTTCTGAAAGATAAACTCTCACAGGAATAATATGTATACATCAGGAGCAAAAGACAGAAATTTGAAAATATGTGCCTCAGTGGTATCAAACCTAAACATTTCTAACACAGGTCTTTCCCCTGAGTAGATGTTTTGCTGTGGAAAATCCTCCTGTCGGGGGCGGGGGGTATCATTAAACAGAAGTGCTGTGCAGGCATTATGCCTGAATGAGGAACTGGGGGGGAAGTAGGAAAGACAGGGTCATGCAAGTCGCCCCTGTTAGCAACATTCTTGCATGCACCAGCCTTCTTCCCACATTGAGCCAGAAGGTCTGAGGGGGTTTTCTAAGTACTTTTGGTTGAACACACTTAGAAACCCCTTTTAAATCTTACTACTCAACACATGGTGGTCAGGGTAGATCCTGCACATACAGAGACATTAGGCATACAGCAGTGTGTGGTCCTATTCCCCTTCCAGGATTTGAAAATTCTAGCACCTAAACAGAGCTAGAGAGGTCTTTGTTTTCCTATATGCCGTTATGTTATCTATAATGTTGTTCACCAAATTAAAGCAATGAAGTCCAAGGGTTCCAACACTGGTTGATGTTCTCCTTTTCTAGCTCAAAGCATAGTAGCAATGTTTGAAGTTCTCAAATGGAAGCAGCATTAGGTAATTTTGTACTTGGTTCAAATGCCATGTCCTTGCCATTGTGCAACACCTAATGGATACTCCTATATCGAGTCCATCACCAGATGATGTAATCTATTACAATGTCAGAAAATATAGCCCTTCCTCTCTGCTTCCTCAGCAAAACTCTGCCCCTGCCCTGGTAATTTCTTTCTTTAGCTACTGCCATCTCAGGTCTTCCACTGTCCCATCTTCATCCACTCATCTCCATCTAACATTATGCTGACAATGTCACCTCCCTTGGCAAACTGACCATGTGATGCCCCTTCTTAAATCCCTATACTGGCTTCCTATCCTCTTCCAGATCATGGCTGACTCAGTTCCTAAGTATCTTAAAAATTGTATACATCCATACTGACCTTCTCAGGCTTTGAAGATCTACAGAGGGGGCTCTCTTAGTACAGTGGTACCTCGGGTTACAGACACTTCAGGTTACATACTCTGCTAACCCAGAAATAGTACCTCGGTTAAGAACTTTGCTTCAGGATGAGAACAGAAATCGTGCGGCGACAGCGGGAGGTCCCATTAGCTAAAGTGGTACTTCAGGTTAAGAACAGTTTCAGGTTAAGAATGGACCTCCAGAACGAATTAAGTTCTTAACCCAAGGTACCACTGTAATTCCACCAACCACAGAAGTAAGAGAATAGAACCCAAGAGAAGACTTTCTCTGTGACAGCCTCTAAACTATGGAACTCCCTACAGAGCTGCATTTAGCATCTTCAATATACAGTGTACCTCTGGTTACGTACTTAATTCGTTCCGGAGGTCCGCTCTTAACCTGAAACTGTTCTTAACCTGAAGTACCACTTTAGCTAATGGGGCCTCATGCTGCCGCCGCGCCGCCATTTCTGTTCTCATCCTGAAGCAAAGTTCTTAACCCGAGGTAATATTTCTGGGTTAGTGGAACCTGTAACCTGAAGCGTATGTAACCTGAAGCACATGTAACCTGAGGTACCACTGCACAGTTTTTGCTGTATGCTGTAGACAAACCTCTTTTACCCTGGCCTTCAACTGTTTCATGGGACCCACCACTTTTGCTGAATTTATATTGTTCTTCTCAATTTTGAACGGTTTTACTTGTTTTATAATTGTAACAGTTTAAGCTTTTTAAAAAATTGTACATTATACTGTTGTAACTCACCCTGGGAACTTATGGTGAAGGGTGGGTGAGAAATCAGACAAATAAATAAATAAATAAATAAATAAATACATTTCTTGTGCTCATCTTCAAATCCTTCCACATTCCATGGCCTTCCTCCCCATTATCTCTCTGCTCTTATATCTTAACACATCTCTTCCTTTGGCTTTTACCTCTTCAGCTCCATTACCCACTGTTGTCTAAAAGTCTCATTCTTCACCCTTTGTCCCTTGCTGCCTCAAATACCTACCAGAATGTGTCCAACCATCTCCTTTACCTCATTCAAATTTCTCCTCAAAACTCACCTTTGGAACAATCTTCTAGTGATAATACCCTATAGTAACTAAGCCGAAGAAACTTAATTGCATCTTATTCCCCTGTTTTCCACTGCTTTCATTGCCAATGTTGTTTTCCTTTGTTAGGTTTCAGATTGTAAGAACATGTAAAGTGTCATGTACACAGATGGTGCAATCAATGGATTTTAAGTTGATTTTGGTACTACTCTGAGTATAACTAACATTAGATATCACTCAACAGCATTTGAGAATACAGGATATTTTAAACAAAACTCTCCCACAGTGAATTTTAACCACAGATAAGTAATAAACTTACTGTTTAAAAAGATTAAAAATCCATTCTTCAGTAGTCTGTTCAATACTTTTCTTTTCCAAGAGATGAAAGGCATAAAACAGAGGGTCAAAAGACACTGCATTCAATGTACAAAAAATCCTGAAATAAAGAATATGTTTTTAAAAACACAAACATAGGAACAACTTAGAAGTCACTACCACCTAACAGCAAAAAAATAGGTAATTTTACTCTAAATGTGGTCATTCATAATATGGCCAGAAAGGAGGGAGGGATTTATGTCAATATCTAGAAGTTTTGCAAGTTTTTGTAGTTCTGCACATAGCTGGCACTAAGTATTTACTAATACTCCCTTTTAAAAAATGATATTGTTGACTACAAATCTGTAGCATTTTTTGACTCCTGACTTTTAGCAGGATAATCTAAATCAAATAAATGCCCACTATGACAGAGATTCTAAACAAATACTGTAAACTAGGGAAATGCCAAGTTTAATTTATTCTCCTAAATCTCACCAACCTTACACATCTCTACAAGTCTTCTACACTTTGGAATAGAAACCTGGCTATGCTAGCTAACTTTAAAGCACATGTAACGAGCTTCCTTAATACCTGATATTTACATTGCTTATTTGTAAATTAACCTGCAAATATTTATCTGCGGAAACTGGAAATCTAACTATTTCCCAAAATATTCCAAAAATAGTTAAAAGATGTCAGAAATGAATTTGTTCATGTTACAAAACAAGGGCTGCACTCCTACTTTTGAGTAAACACAAAGGGGACTGGACTAAACACATGCACCTTATTGATTTGCAAGCTTTAAAATAGTGCAGACACCACTAGTTTACTAAGGGTGTAATCCTGTGGTACCCGGGAAGGAGTCCCAGACACCATACAGTATCTCTAGAAGTGGACCACTGTCAGGTGGTTCCCTGGATGGCAACAGTGCTTTCTGCTGCCATGGCTACCCTACCAGTGGTGGGCCCAAAACTAGAAGGATATTAGCATACATTGAGGGCAGCCAAGGATCTGCAGGATCCTACACTTCTTCATTCACCCATCATGACTCCAAATGGAGCCACAAACTACAGTAGCCTAAGAGCTGGCATACCTAATTCCCTGCAATGGAAAGCAACGATAACCGAAAAAATGGTCACCCCTTCCTCACCTTCTGCCAAAGCCAGCAAGGCTTTGAAAATGGAAGTCACTCTGCCACAGATCTTTCCCACCCAGTAGGACTGCTCTGCTCACTTCCCGCTTCCCCAGATTAGATTACTTACAAGTTAAAAAAAACAAAAAACCTGTTTAAATTTAGGATTTTCTAGACAGAAGCAACTTGAAAACCAGAGTACACAATCAAAAGCATGAAATCTTTCACAGAGAAAGAGGTCTGTTCTATGCAGAGATATGTGCCATGGGGACCAGAGAAGGATCTTAACAGGCTAAATCACTCTGCCCAAGGATTAAAAGCAGATATACCTTTAAAAAAACAAAAAACCCAAACCTCAAATTTAGAACAATTTTAGTATCTCCTTATACAGGCTGAAGCCTAGAATCTAGTTACCAAAACATACATTATTTTAATGTCAAAAAACAAACCCAATAAATCAATCTTACAAACTATCATTCTTGGTTCAGCGTTGTAACCTACATGCAATGTAGTCACCTTTTTTAAAAGAGATGTCTCAAGTCTACTACTGATCAATTTCCTATACAAAATATCCCATATTTTGCAAGAGTTGAAGGAACAGCAAAGACAAATTATCTCCATAGTTTGTATAAAATGTGTCTACTTGTAACACTGCAACTTCTGGTAGTATCTTTCTTATTTCAGAACCAAGCCTTTGTGTTTTCACGTCTCAAGTATATGTGAGCAAGACTGGGCTGGCAGATTTAGAATTTTCTCAACTTAAGTTGTAATACAGGTCCATCTTACAAATTATCCACATAGGTACACCCCACTATATTATTATACAGCAATATATCACTCACTATAATTTAGTGAGACGGCCAGTGAGAGCAAAAATGATTAGCACATTTCCATGGTTATATAAGAATCTTTGCACTATCTTAAGGAATTTTCATGAACATTTGGCTTTGTTGGTTTTCCTTTCCAAATAACTTCTTTCAAGCTGCAGCAACGCATGCTACTTAACTTCAGTCCTATGGTAACACAATCATAAATATCAGCAACCAAAATCAGCTCAGTACTTTGTTGTGAGCAAGAGAGGATGATCTCAGCAAGTCTTTTTTGGTGCAAGGCTACACCCAAGCAAAACAAGATGGCAGTCAACAACAAAGCGAACTCCCTCCCTCTCTCTCTCATTCTGCAGGAAGTGCTTCCTAGCCAAGTTAATCCTTTCAACACAATCCAGATAGGGCAATGCTCAGCATCTGCACTTGGAAAGGGTGAAGGGCCTTTGCCCCAAGTCAAGCCCATAACCCTTGTTGAGTTTTGAAACCATGGGATCTGGCCTGCCAACTTGCTCAATAGCTTTAGGGTGCTGGAGGAGTCCATAAACTGGCGGGAAAACAAAAGACCACCCAACTCATCCGTCTGCCTGGACACAAAAAAAGCCCTTTCGGGTTGAGTTGGGCTTCCTGGGCGCCTCTAGAACTTTTGGGCGCCATAGGGAGAAGAACTGCCAGGCCCCTCAGGTGTCGCTCAGGGGCACCAACCCCGCTATTTTGGTCCCCATGGAGCTGTGTTTCGGGAGACAGGGGGAGGGGGGGTCAAGCTGCTCGCGCCCCCGTCCTAGAAAGGGGGTCCCTGTCTGAAGCCGCGAGGAGGAGACGGGGCGCTGCCGAACAGCAACTCTCATCCTGGCACGGCGGAGGGATACACACGCGCTGTGTTGGTCGAGCCTTCGCCCACAGAGGCGCGAGCAGCCGCGCGGCCAACGGCGCGTGGCCCCTCAATAGTTCCCCCCGCACCCCTTAAATGAGGTGCACCTCTCTCTCTCTCTCTCTCTCTCTCTCTCTCTCCCTCCCCAAAACCAAGCCGCGACCGCGGGACTATTTGATGCCTCGGCCCAACAAGAGGGCGGGTTCCTGCCCAACTACCGGGATTCGCCCGTCCCGCTGAAGAAGCTGCCCCCTCCCGCCGCCCGTATGGGGTGGGGGGATCCCGCCTCCCCGTTACCTCGCTGGGCGTCCAGGGCCCCGCGACTCCCCCGCGACCTTCCCCCCACCCCTACGCTGGGCACGAGCGCCGGGCGCCTAGATTACCTCGCCCGTCTCCATAGTCCGACGAGTCACAATTGGCGGCCATTATAGTTTTCCATCCGGGGACTCCGGCAGTTTGACGAGCTCAGCAATGGAAGGCGGGGTGACTGTGGCGGAGGGATATGCCGGCGCACAGAAGAGGGGGCGGAAGGACGGAGGCCCAGCGAAGTTTGGGGGCGCGAGGAGACGCCGGGGGGGCTGCCGACGACCCCTGTTTTGCCGCTGAGGAGGCGCCACGACCTGCGCGCCTTTTTTTTTTCCCTCGTCGCTTTCACGTACCATGAAAGCTGCCTCGGCGGCGACGGCGGCAACCGCCGGCCGGGGAGTTTTTCTGTCAAAGTAATGAAGGCAGCAGCGGCAACACGGCCGAGTCCCTCCTCTTCCTCCTCCCCGCCTGTTATTTGTGTGTGTGTGTGTGTGTGTGTGTGAGTGAGAGAGAGAGAGAAAGGAAGGCTGTGGGGGTGGATTACTAACACCAATACACACTACCAGATCCAACAAAGAGGCACCCATATTCCCCCCTCACGGGTGGCCAACGAAACGGCCTGGTGCCACACAAGCACATACATACACACAAGCAAAGCCCATCCCGGGAAGCAAAACAGGGCGCCATCATGTCCTCTCCCTCAGCCAAGGGATGACGACGACATCACCCACTTCTTCCCCCTTTGCTCATCCATCTGCCGCACGCGGCCATTGTCTGGAAGCCGCCTCCTGATATCAGCAATGTATTTGCCCTCCTTCCAGTGCTCCTCTTTCAGTTGCAGATAGCAGTCCTTTTGTGCTCAAAAGAAGAGGAAAACGCGGCCTGTTTCCCCTTCTCTTGCATGAAGACAATGGCGTTGTTCTTTGCACACTCGCGAAATGCAAAGGGAAGGGGAAATGGCCTCCTCGAAGCAGCGTATATGAACCCAGCTTAGCTGCAAAACAAAGCAGACCGGGAAGAGAACTGCTGAGTGGCACAATAGAAGCATGAATATGTAGCACGAATCGCATTTGTTTAAAACCTAGGTGAACGTTATCAGGAGGACCTAAAAATGGGGGGTGAAGCCAGTGCTGAAGCTCTCTTTGTGACAGACAACACAGGGATGCGCCTTTGGTTGGAATATGGAAGGTAATTCTTTGCTTAGCTGTTACTGCAACACGGAGGGTAAGCTTTACAAGCCAAAGGATTGCGTCCAAATTCGACATTTTTGCATCCTTGCTGAAGCAAATCCAGCACAGCGTTATTCAACATATGAACAGCCATATTTGGATTTTAAGACCAGAGTCAAATGCAAAGAAGGAAGCTAGCAGGAAAAATATTTGGAGCATAAAGGGTGGTTTAAATGACAACATGCGGTATAAAGAAAATAGATTGGCTTCCTGTGTTCTATGGAAGATCTTAGATGCAGAACTAAAACAAATGTAACATTCAAAAAAATGTCATCCTTACATTCCCAGGAAGGGAGTTCAATAAACAGATCTTCAAACTCTGTTATTCAGAGTTGAATTTCTCCATCAGACTCAACTCTGCCATTCTCTTCCCCCCCACACACACACACCCCGTTCTGTATTTGAACTTCCAAAAGCAAATACTGTTTCAACAGTCAGAGAAAAAGTGCAACTTTTCAAAGGACTATAAAACCTTTAGACATTTGCTAAAGATTCATTACTTTATGAAAAATATGACTATTTATTTTCAATGAACAAACTTTCAAAGCAAATGCTTATCCAAGAACCTACTTACATATTAAATCTATTTTTATTTGGCTTATTTTTTTGAAAATATGATATCCTACCTTTCTGTTTAGATTACTAAACGTTCAATATGGCTAACAAATATATAAAATGTTGATAGCATGTACAATGTATATAAATGCATCTAGGAAGCAAGATGCACTTTTCATAAATCATGAAATAAAGCATTTGTGACTGCGGAGAGATCAGGTTTTACTGGGTTTGTTTTACATACTGTATAGGAATTCGCTATGTGTCCATAGTTTTGTGAAGAGCTAAGTTTAAAATACAAAGTATCTATTGCTGACTAGCAGCTGGTTGTTACATGAGACTGGTCTGGAAAGAAGCAAGGTTCTTTTTTATGTTGTTGTTGTTGTTTAGTCGTTTAGTCGTGTCCGACTCTTCGTGACCCCATGGACCAGAGCACGCCAGGCACCTCTGTCCTCCACTACTTCCCGCAGTTTGGTCAGACTCATGCTGGTAACCTCGAAAACACTATCCAACCATCTCGTCCTCTGTCGCCCCCTTCTCCTTGTGCCCTCCATCTTTCCCAGCATCAATGTCTTCTCCAGGGAGTCTTCTCTTCTCATGAGGTGGCCAAAGTACTGGAGCCTCAGCTTCACGATCTGTCCTTCCAGTGAGCACTCAGGGCTGATTTCCTTAAGAATGGATGCGTTTGATCTTCTTGCAGTCCATGGGACTCTCAAGAGTCTTCTCCAGCACCATAATTCAAAAGCATCAATTCTTCGGCGATCAGCCTTCTTTATGGTCCAGCTCTCACTTCCATACATCACTACTGGGAAAACCATGGCTTTAACTATACGGACCTTTGTTGGCAAGGTGACATCTCTACTTCTCAAGATGCTGTCTAGGCCTGTCATTGCCCTTCTCCCAAGAAGGAGGCGTCTTTTAATTTCGTGGCTGCTGTCACCATCTGCAGTGATCATGGAGCCCAAGAAAGTAAAATCTCTCACTGCCTCCATTTCTTCCCCTTCTATTTGCCAGGAGGTGATGGGACCAGTGGCCATGATCTTCGTTTTTTTGATGTTGAGCTTCAGACCATATTTTGCGCTCTCCTCTTTCACCCTCATTAAAAGGTTCTTTAATTCCTCCTCACTTTCTGCCATCAAGGTTGTGTCATCTGCATATCTGAGGTTGTTGATATTTCTTCCGGCAATCTTAATTCCAGCTTGGGATTCATCCAGCCCAGCCTTTCGCATGATGTATTCTGCATATAAATTAAATAAGCAGGGAGACAAAATACAGCCTTGTCGTACTCCTTTCCCAATTTTGAACCAATCAGTTGTTCCATATCCAGTTCTAACTGTAGCTTCTTGTCCCACATAGAGATTTCTCAGGAGACAGATGAGGTGATCAGGCACTCCCATTTCTTTAAGAACTTGCCATAGTTTGCTGTGGTCGACACAGTCAAAGGCTTTTGCATAGTCAATGAAGCAGAAGTAGATGTCTTTCTGGAACTCTCTAGCTTTCTCCATAATCCAGCGCATGTTTGCAATTTGGTCTCTGGTTCCTCTGCCTCTTCTAAATCCAGCTTGCACTTCTGGGAGTTCTCGATCCACATACTGCTTGAGCCTTCCTTGTAGAATTTTAAGCATAACCTTGCTAGCGTGTGAGATGAGTGCAATTGTGCGGTAGTTGGAGCATTCTTTGGCACTGCCCTTCTTTGGGATTGGGATGTAGACTGATCTTCTCCAATCTTCTGGCCACTGCTGAGTTTTCCAAATTTGCTGGCATATTGAGTGTAGCACCTTAACAGCATCATCTTTTAAAATTTTAAATAGTTCAGCTGGAATACCATCACTTCCACTGGCCTTGTTATTTGCAGTGCTTTCTAAGGCCCATTTGACTTCACTCTCCAGGATGTCTGGCTCAAGGTCAGCAACCACACTACCTGGGGTGTATACTGAGTAATAAATTGCACTACTGATTGGCTGTAAGATGGAAAATTATTGGGCACTCATTCAACAGAATAGGTGATATTACAGGAAGGGGTTGAGAATTCTTTGGCATTCAAATTTGTTTAAGTGAAGAATACGCTGGCTGGAACATAAATAGGCTGGAGGGGAAGCAATGTCGGCAAGAGGCGATTGCAGTAAAGTGGGGTTTTTTCCCCCAGGGGGTGCCAATACCACTCCTAGCAAGGATACAAGGGATCCTAGGTATGTCTCTGGCTACCAAATATCTTTAGGGCTGGTTCAATCAGCTGCTTCCCCCCCCCCCCTTTATGGTAGTAGAACATCAATGCCCCAATGGTTTTCTATGCCTTTACTTTTACTGCCTCCATATAACACTTCCAACAGAAAGTTTAATTAAAGAGTACACCCAGGTATCTAAATGAGCAAGTTGATTCTATAGCCTGCTAATCCAAGCACAATCTATACCTAGGAATGTGTCTGTCAAAAATCATAATCTTGGTCTTAGAGTAATTTATAGATAGATTTTCCTGTCTACAGTATGTGCTGAGGCCCAGTCAGGAAAAGGAGAACAGCATTAAACCACATGCATACACCAAGATTGAGATCTTTGTGTTCCTAACTACTGGAGTGGGGGAGTTTGCATTGGGTAAATATAAAAGTTAAAAAGATTGGGAGCCAGAATGCAACTTTGCTTCACTCCTCATGACATTTTAAAAGCACCAGTCACATCACCGTTTAAACCTACTTTGACCCTCATTTCTGTGGTGCTGTATAGTTCTTGGATCAATAGCGGAAGTCTGCAGTCAATGTTGGCAGTTTGAAATTTATCTTGCAGAGTTGAATGCAGAAAAAAGATAAATTAAGGTTACATAAAGATTATTCGTAATGCTCTTACTATATTTTCTTACAATATGGTTCAGAATAAAACATTGATCAACAGTATTGCCTCCTCTTCTGAAAGGATTGTTTACTCTTCCCTATGTAGCAATTGCCTTTGCTATACACCACAAACTGATTTTTCCACCCTCCTAATTTCAAAAATCCTTTGCCATGCAAATATGTGGGAGACTACTCAGGAAACACAACTCCAATACACTACTGAGCAACAGAACTAATTTGGCACCTCTTTGAGTCCTCTTATGTCTGCCTCTCTCCATAAAAATCTTTTTTCTTTTTGAGCTGTGTGCTTTCTCCTCTTCTGAAAACTTTATTTATAAAGCTACACACAACAGATACATTTATTCCACATAAATTACCGGTAATCCAGAATAACTGTCCTCCCCAATTTTTGGTTCTACATTGCTGTTTAAAATGTATTCTTTATTCATAAGTGACATTCCAAAGTAGGAGTATACGCTTGTGCCACCCTCTGTATGTTTTATTCCATGTTTGGAGCAAACATGGTGAGCAAAAAGCTGGAAGGGTCAATTAAACCACTTTAATTGGATATCTTCTGGATGCTATAACTTAATCATTAGGAAAGCTACTGTATTTTTCCACTGCCATATAGAATTAATTATTTTACAGAACGTCTATCATGTTCTCATTGACATGCATTGTATTGTTCATCATTATTTCTTTTTTCTTTTCTGATAATCCAAATCCTGTTTAGAAAATATGCAAGTGAACAAAACAGAACCTAAAACAAAACACTCACAAGAGACAGTGCAGATGGAGTGGTGTTTTTAATTAAGTCAACTTTTTGTTGGGTGTAAAGAGAGCAATATTTCAGACCAAGTCCCTTGAAGCTGGAAATAATGTATTCATTTTCATTAAAGAATGTTGGCCTGATGCAATATATCAACCTACCAACTTGATTTCTCTCACTTCCTAGTACTCTAATGACAATAGTAATCTTTAGTATGCAATCCTTTGTATGTAACAATTGAGGGAAGCTGAAAAATAGACTGATAACCCCATGCTATAGCTCAGTTATGGAATATGTGTGGTAAACCAGTGGACAAGACAGGAAATCAGTTTACAAGTGGGCATGCATTGCATCAGAAAGCAAAAGGAAGCTTGAAGAGCTGGAATGGGTTTAAGAATCCATATAATGGCAAAGGAAACCAAGTGAATTAAGATATCTTCTGCAAGGCAGGGAGTTAGTAATAATGGTCGTAAAATCATGAAGCTATCTAAATTCCAGTTTTTGAAGTCGCAAAATTGAGCTTAATACAAAACAGCACCAGTATGATGTTA